GAGAGAGAGAGAGAGAGAGAGAGAGAGAGAGAGAGAGAGAGAGAGAGGCAGCAAGAAAGTGAGCGTTACTTCCATTAGTGGTCCGAAAGCTAACACATCGGAATGCAGAAGCGTCGGGCTCATGATATTATCCCAATACCAAAAGTATGGTGGTGGTGAATGAAAAACGTTGAATATGTGCTCTGAACCACCAATTGTTGAGGGGATAACTTCTTTATGCCGAGTATCATATCAGTTCATACATCATCATCCACGCGTCGACCGATGGCAAAAGTAAAACGCCAGGCAAACAACCAACAAGTGGTAATATTCAAAATACAATACGGTACGTGTTAACGGAGAATTCGAATTCTTTACTCGCATTTCATTCTTTCTCTAGCTCGGTCGCTCTTCTTCTTTTTCTTAATCATATTCGTATTCTTGTGGCTTGGTTCAATCGCTCTTCGACCATTTTTGTCACTGACACACGTTCATCTTCTCTCAATAAGATATTTCTTCTCCCATTTGACTCACGCCTGTTTCGTGCGAACAGAGAGCGATAGAGAAAAGTCGTAAGACGCGCATACCGCCTGCCACTCCATTCGCTTTTAGCCAACGAAACATTTTGAATGCGCCGGTCCGTTGGCGCGATGTAATTATAGAGAATGTGTATAAGATGGTGGATAAGGTCATGATAGGCCACAATATGCAAACAAAAATGTGTGTGGGAGAGAGAAAGAAAAAAACTAGCCAACATTCGAATGAAAATCAAGTCATGAAGCTTGCTTGTCATTTATATTAGGAAAAGTGTATTTATGCTTGAGCCATCCCGCTTGGAATTGCCTTCATATGGTTTTCTCTGTTGAATCGAATCGACTGGTTGAGGTCACACACTTTTCCCAATAAGATACGGCCATGTACTCAGTTTCATCAGAACTTTCGTGTGGTTCGGACGCGAATCGAGCTCTCGGGCCGCCCCAACATAAAAATTCGTTTCGACAATTTTCTTAATCACAGTTCCAAGGCAGTGACTACAGGGAAGCAGTGCGTATCAGACATGTGTGTGGGGAAAATAATATAAATCTCAATATTGACTGTGGTTAAACATTTTGTTTCAATTAAACGTACAGGCACGCGTGTTTTTTTTATTAGATCGTTAAGAAGGATTCAAACGATCAAAATATCAAGACACAGATAAATGCTGGATAACATAATAGTTCTACACTTTTAAACTATCGTCTTAGTTTTTATACACAAACTTAACCATCCGCAGTGTATTTCTATCCCTTAATTGAATGTTTAGCCACCGTACAACAGAAAATAGTTTAGCATCCTAACGATGAACATCCATCATAACTGTAATTAATTGCTCATTCGCTCCCTCTCTCGCTCTATGTGTGTCTCTGTCTTATCAAAAAATTGTAACTGTAATCGGTTTTTGTGTCTTCGTGTGCCATTTAAACGTTTCATATCTCCAATAAAATTGCCTATTAGAAACAAGGTGCATCGGCGAAGACGTGTTTGTACATTAAAATGTAACAGAGTAACAGTTGCGAGACATAGTGTGGGAATAGAACACTCACCAAGTGCCAGTACAGTAATGCCATATTTGGTGATGGTTTACCAGAGACAAATATGCAGTTCGCTTGCTTGCCATTTGGTTCTTTTTTTTCCAATTCTTGCTCTCTTTCGCAGCATCGTCCATCGGAAAAGTGAATTCTTCCACATCGTTTGCGCTCGCATAATTGAAATCCATTAAAAATTATTATAACAACACACCGTGCATAACGTGTTCGTTAGGAATGTCCATGAAAATAACTCACTGTTATTGGAATAACCACAATATTTCAATGATCCAAATAACCCCATTTTATTTCGTTAAAGCACAACTCGACCGAATCCAAGAGCGTGATAATCTACTCGAACTTTTACAACGTAGTTTTTGTTTCGTATCAATCATTGATTGAAATTACATGCGAGTAGAAAAGAGTTATTGGCTTTTTCGATTGCACACCATGGATTGCAATTTGCGATGCAGTTTTTTTCCTGGTTTTCAAATTTTCGTTAAATCTATCAATCAATTTACCAACAAATACGATTTGGGGCTCAACCAATTTGCAGCTTGCATAGTCTATTGATGGCGTCGGCTGTTCGCTTATGACAAAAGGAATTGGAAAAGATTGTCAGATCGGATTCGACTGAATTTTGCCATCATATCTCTGCTTATTCCCATATCATAAAGGCACACATTTTTTGTCTCCACCTTTTTTTCGCGATATAAAGAAGAGACCAAATCAAAATATGCAATCGTTTTCAACACTTGAATCTGTCGATATCAGAAAAATCAACGCCCGCGCGAACTTTATTTATCGTTTGCTCGTCCCATTACTTATAATTAAATGCATTGTTATTTCAAGTGCGATTCAAGTGGGTTTTTTTTCTTCTTTCACACCATTTACCAAATACACATACACACACACCACTTTTTTATCTTCATACAAAATCTATTCTTTCTTCATTTTCTTCTCACTGCTTCCTTATTTCCCTAACCATTCAATTTCGATGGCTTCACTTTGTACCTCTAAGATTGAAACGGGTGGGAGAATTGGTTGACTGAATTTTTTTTCATGTTCCATCCATTATTCATATTTTTCCCGCAACTTTCTCGATTAAATCCATGCAGCGCAGCATCAGATATTAAATAATTTGTTATAATTAGTTTATTCAGTAATTAAATAAATTCGCCTAAACGTTTTTTTTTTTTTTACTTTTTCATCCAGTTAAAAGAGTTGAAAGTGATCGGATAAGTTCAATCATTTGAAATTTCAAAAATAAGAATCGAAGGAAAAATTTGCTCAATTCGAGGAGAAACAAAAAAAACATTGAAATTTTAACGAAGTAAAACAAAGTGAAGTAGAAAGAACAAAATGGATAGTAAAGAGTTTCGTGTGCGAGGAACGGAGATGGTGGAGTATATTTGCAAGTATATGGAAACGCTGATGGAACGACGGGTCACACCGTCGGTTGAACCAGGCTATTTACGTCATTTGTTGCCTGATGACGCGCCGCATAATCCCGAGAATTGGGACGATATTATGCGTGATGTCGAAACGAAAATTATGCCCGGTGTAACGCATTGGCAACATCCACGTTTCCATGCCTATTTCCCAGCTGGTAATTCATATCCATCGATTCTGGGCGATATGCTTGGCGATGGCATCGGATGCATTGGGTTTTCATGGGTAACGAACTAAAAACACTATTTTATAAAAAAAAATATCTTGTATTTAATTTTGAAGAGTCCACTCTAGCAAGTGATTTATGAAATGATTTGTAGGCCGCGAGCCCGGCGTGTACAGAGCTCGAGACAATAGTGCTTGATTGGCTGGGTAAAGCCATTGGATTGCCTGATGATTTTCTTGCGCTGAAAGAAGGTAGCAAGGGTGGAGGTGTGATTCAAACGTCGGCATCGGAATGTATTTTGGTTACAATGTTGGCGGCCCGTGCGCAAGCCATTAAACACTTGAAGCAACAGCATCCATTTGTTGAAGAAGGCCATCTGCTGTCCAAACTGATGGCCTATTGTTCGAAAGAGGCACATAGTTGCGTTGAAAAGGCCGCCATGATTTGCTTTGTGAAACTGCGCATTCTGGAACCGGACAACAAATGCAGTTTGCGCGGCGATACACTGACCAAGGCCATGGAAGAGGATGAACTACAAGGATTAGTGCCATTTTTTGTATCAACAACACTAGGTACGACGGGAGCATGCGCATTTGATGCTCTCGAAGAAATTGGAATTGCATTGCAACGATTTCCCGGAGTTTGGCTTCATGTTGATGCCGCCTACGCTGGAAATGCATTCATTTGCCCCGAACTTAAGCCATTGCTTAAGGTAAATATTTGCAATTTTATTTAGAACTACTACACTCTCTTTACATGAAGAAAATTTGTGCAAAACAACGGTTTATCTATGGAAAAAAGTCATTTTTAGCTTAAGCGTTGAAGCTTTCTGCGTTGAAAACTAATTAAAAAGGTTGAATAATCTTGGTGAAACTAAATTTAAATGAAATTTTAATGTAATTTCTGACGCAGGGAATTGAATATGCTGATTCATTTAATACCAACTCAAACAAATGGCTTCTGGTGAATTTTGACTGTTCAACGCTTTGGGTCCGAGATCGAATTCGCTTGACATCGGCGTTAGTTGTATGTGCTGTTTGGCTCAATAATTGTGAATATTCTGTACGTTTTAGAGAATTTTATTTATTTTGTTCAGGTTGATCCATTGTACTTAAAACACGGTTATTCAGATGCTGCCATTGATTACCGTCACTGGGGTGTACCGCTCAGTCGAAGATTTCGTTCACTCAAACTTTGGTGATTTCAATAATCCATTTTTTTTAATTCATTACATTCCAAGCTAATTTTCACTCTATGCATCCCCATTTCAACATTCATTTTCTTAGCATCGATTTTTCTTCTCTTCTTTTTTTTAATTGTCTACTCATCATTTTTGTAGGTTTGTGTTGCGAAATTACGGAATTTCCGGTCTTCAAAACTATATACGAAAGCACATTGAGCTTGCCAAACGCTTTGAAAGTCATGTGCTTAAAGATAAACGATTTGAAATTTGCAACGAAGTCAAAGTAAATATTGTGGAATTGTTTTTCAAAAGTGCCAACTCATACTAATGATTCATGAACAAACAAAACATTTCATTGGATGCGTTTAATTTTAGCTTGGGCTGGTATGCTTTCGACTCGTTGGAGCTGATAAATTAAATGAAAAGCTATTGAGTACTATTAACGGTTCGGGAAAATTGCACATGGTGCCAGCTTCGGTTAATGAAAAATACGTTATTCGATTTTGTGCAGTTGCACAGAGTGCCACCGAAGAGGATATTGGTAATATATGGTGTTTTTCCCCTAAAATCCAATGAATTTTGAATTAATGCTGTTAATTTGTGATTAAAATGTTGAAAATAAGGCCACAATGGTCAATTAGGTCTCCTGATACAGATTTTCAATTTCATTGATGAAAAAATCGATTTTTTCTTTGTAAAAAATAGACATTGCATGGGATATAATCACGGATTTTGCAACGGAACTGTTGGAAAAGGAGCAAGCCGATCAATTTGCCGAAATTATGGATCGTAAACGAAAAGAGACTTTGGCGCAAAAGCGTTCGTTCTTCGTGCGAATGGTCAGTGATCCAAAAATCTATAATCCAGCTATTAATAAAGCTGGCACGCCACGAATGTCAACTGAACATTGTTCACCGATTACCGAAGGGGCGCCAGCTATTCAAACACCAACCTCGAGGTAAATAACCAATAAAATTGAAATGCTAGTGCCCACTTATCGTAAGTTACTCATCTCAATTTTTTTCAATTGCATGCATAGCAGTGCTCCAGCATCAGCATCATGGATTAGCTGGCCGCTTGCCTTTCTGTTTGCCAGCTCAGATGATGGACCGAAGAGTAATGTTCCGATTCGGTATGCTAGTTCGATTAAGTTTTTTTTTTGTCCTTTTTCTACTTTGAATCGAAACGAGATTGAAATCTCGAATTGAAATTAATTGTGCTGTTTTCCACTTTGTTCCTCAGGTTTAGGCATTTAGATGCAACAATGCGTCTAACACCGTCACGTCGAAACTCAGCGACTGGTGGTGGCTCATCACCGTCGCCGGAAAATGAAAATGGTAGTTCAATTATGATTAGTCGCTCACCAAAGCGTTCACCCGTTTTGCAGCGCAAACGAGGCACATCACCCAATCCCAATGGAAATACCAACAAATGAAATGCCACCGATTAATCAACGCAACACGTTTTGCTCATAATTTTCTTTCTTTTGTTTGGGATCACCATTCAGATCTTAATGAAAAATAACATAATGTAGGAAATAGTCGTTCGATGTATTCACATGAATTAAATGTTCTTCACTTAAAGATAAAATGTACTAACGATCATGGTGATTTTTGTGTATGTTCACAATGTTGGTGCTATGAAAGTCAATACGAACGCCGGCAGTCGGATCGAATTTTATTGGTTGAAGTCGATAGCGAAATTATTGATTAGAAAACCGATTGCAAGCGATCAATTTACCTTTCATTGCTTCAAACCAATTGAAAGCAGAAAATCACCCCCAAAAAAAAAGAAACACAAAATTATTGACTGTAAATTCATTAGCTGGCCACCTTTTTCATGCGCATCTTTTGCTAAATTAGAATTTATTGTTTCTGTGTGTCTGTCATATGTACTCTCGATAGTCATACTTTGAGCAATATTTCTTTTCAAATAATCGCATTTCTTCAAGATCCTTAGAAAACAGCAAACCCAAAAAAATCAATGCCAAATAATAGCAATAAACTGTAGAGTTGTCATTTTGAATCAATAAAGGAAAATACTTGTATTCGATCTCTCACAATACTCGTTGACTTTCATTTCGTCAAATAGAAACCGAGAGTGGTTTCTTTTTATAACTCAATTTTTTATTGAAATTCATGTTATGTTTGTTGTTATGCGGACATAAACAATGGCTGAAACCAAATTATGGTTATAACTTCCGGTAGTTAATTGGTTTTTTTACGGATTAACCTGTTGATTTGCATGAAAAATCTAACAAATCCTTCCCCAGGTGTGATATAAAACAAGAACAAATAATACATCACTGTGTTCAGCACCAAAATGAACAACCATAGAATTCATATGAAAAATCACTAATAATGAATAAGAGCTGACTATATTCATTTATTTCTTCTTTGAATTTTTACTGGCTATGAAGAATGAGACGGAATCGATGCATTCAAAACCATGTTCTTTCATTCAACTTTGTTTAAATAATCCACTATGTTGTTGTATTTATTTTGGCACTTTTTTCTTATAATAATTCTGACTCGATTTGTGTTAATGACCAGAAAAAGGCGAACAATTTGGATTGCTTCTAATTTCAGCAATTGGGGCACATTTTTTTCTTTCTTCTAAAACTACAAAAAAAAACTGTACGTGAATACATGGAGCGTTCGATATTGATGGAGAAATCTAAACAACCAGTCTCTGAAAATATACAATTGAACAAGTGCTAATGATGCATTATGACTTGTGCAATGCCACCGAAATGCCATTGAATCGTACAAATACCAAAAATGCCCGAAACCATATCGAAAACAATAATTATTACATCTCGTTGTATAAACAAAAGAGCAAGAATAAATTCTTATGAATTACAATCAATGTGAATAGAGAATCTTGTGCGCGTAAAATGGGCTGCGTCACTTTTTCGTGAAATGAACTGAGTAAACGGCAGCTGCTTGCAGATTCGAGTAATTATTTCGTTGAATGTGACGCAGAGCAACGGCGCTTCTTTCATCCGAGAGGTAGTACCCTAAATTTCAAATGGATTTTGTTGCCAATGTTCAATGACCATCATTTTATAAATATCAAAATATAAATACAATTTCAAATTTGTGAGGCGATCGATGACGAAATCAATGAATTCGTTTACAATTCAAATAAATTTCGTTTCATTAAATTCTTTACTACCACTTTTGATCAGAGACAAGGTTCTTTGTGAATCTATTTATACAAATAGAATGTTACAATTTTTGGTTCAATTGATAAATATTGAGAGAATTTAATCCGAAAATAGGCTATCAATTTTTTTGTATGGATTGTTTGAATTAAAGCAGAGAATCTATAAAGATCCGGTAAAGATATTTGCTTCCGGTCTCCATTTTGACCCATGTCAGTCAAATAAAGTAAAAAAAAATTCGTTCCAGTTTACTGTACGTATTTTCGCCCATGGACCACAATTCAGAATAAGTAAGGATCGTATGGGAAGAAATAGAGAGCTGAAGCAGGAATTATCACGAATCACTTTTGAATCATTCCGATTCCTGCACAAAAGCAGTTCACTTTTGTTACATTTGATCGATTCTAACACTCGATTAAGCATTGACAAAAAAAGCAAATAAAAAAAGTTTGTATTTCCATACCTACTTTGAATATGGAATTAATGTGGCGCATTGGATTTGCCCAAATAGTGGCAAATTAATCTGCCTATGTTTTTGTAATTGCCACTGTACATAGTGTATGTCCATAAGAAGACAATGCAAAAAGATATGCAGATTTGTTTACAAACAACAAAAAATAAACAAAACAAAAATCTCCATAACTAATGTATTGACAATGTAAAACTAAATGGCGAACATTTTCGTCTCTGCACATTTCTTATGGACTTTATATACTATGTAGTGACACAGTGGCAGAATTAATGACAAACAATGGTAGATGAACAAAACAAAAATCTCATTCCTGCGATGAATAGCTGGCTGCCAATACAACAGCCGATGTTTCGTTCATGTACTACGAATGCATCAGAACAACACAACGCATGAAAAATATCGGATAAATTTATTTGATATTTGAAATTTATAAAAATAAATTTATCTGCAACCAAACTCTGGTATTCACTTTCTATCTAAGGTTGCTGTTGTTCAGAAATAAATTTCATAATAGTAGAGCACGTTGGAGTTGGTTTGGTTTTTTTCTTAGCCGAATTTTACTTTCCAGGTGGGATTAGAAATTCATAAATTATGTTTCACAAGTGCGTCATTATTCGCGTAATTTTTTCAGGGCAAAGATAAACAATAACGTATTTTTTGCCGGGCAAAGATGGAAAACAACAACTAATAGTGTAAAAATAACCGAATCTGATCAAAAATAATCAACACAACAAACCCGATTTTGATGTAAATGTTTCCAAATGGTAATTTCTTTGCACTGTGTTTCGTACAAATTTCAACATAGGCACTATTAGTCACTTACTTGTTGTAGATGTGAAATCGGTGGTTGATTTCGTCAATGTTTGCAAACAAACCAAAAGAAACAATTCACGTGTTAAACGCACAAATGAAATACCGGGCTATCAAAATTGTGAATCGGTGAATTGACAACGAGCAAAAAAATACACATTCTTCGGATTTGACAGCATTTCTGTCAAAATGAACTGGTGATGAATGCGTGCGTGATTGCTTGCGTGACTCTTTACCTCTCTTTCATGTGAAACACACTGAATACGACACATTTCGTTCTGTTGACAGCGATTTCAATCGTTTTCAGTTTTGAGCTTGTTGTTTTCTGATTGTTCCCGACAAACATTGGTATCAATTTATTTTTAGTAAAAACAAACACAAGTAAATATGCCAACTTGGAATCAAATTCAATCCCAATTGAGGCATCCAAACAATCCGGTGGTGTTCTTTGATGTTTCGGTCGGAACTACAGTGAGTATTTAAAATAAATCGTTCTTTTAGGTTAAAAAAAAAACACCCAAAACAAACAATGAATAATCCGAAAATATTTCGTTTTTTTTTTAGGAAATTGGTCGAATGATCTTGGAATTGTTTGCAGACGTTGTACCAAAAACGAGTGAAAATTTCCGACAGTTCTGCACCGGAGAGTATCGCAAAGATGGCATACCGCTCGGCTATAAAGGCGCCAATTTCCATCGTGTTATTAAGGATTTCATGATTCAAGGTGGTGATTTTGTGAATGTGAGTTGGTTTCGGCTTGAATTTTTGTAACAATTCAGTAAACGTCCTTGTAAAAAAAAAAGTTCAAAAATGAAAAAAAAAACTATTTCAAATTTTAACTATTTTTCTCTTAGGGTGACGGAACTGGTGTGATAAGCATATACGGTGGCACATTCCCTGACGAGAATTTCTCACTGAAGCACGATTCGCCGGGTTTATTGTCGATGGCAAACAGTGGCAAAGATACAAATGGCTGCCAATTCTTCATAACGTGTGCCAAATGTAATTTCCTTGACAATAAGCACGTTGTATTCGGTCGCGTCCTGGACGGTTTGTTGATTATGCGAAAAATCGAAAACGTTCCCACCGGACCAAATAACAAGCCAAAATTACCCATTGTCATTTCACAATCGGGAGAACTATAAAGGAACACACCGGACTGACTGTTCAATGAAATATTTTTTTAAGCGCATCATCAGTAATCACAAGCGATGATTTAATTTTAACATTTGATTCCTTTGTCACTCATTGCATTTTTGAAATTGTGAAATGAAAACCCAATTTTTAAGAGATAAAAATGAAAATTTAAAATGTGAGAAGAAGAGAGAAGAAAAAAACTCCATTTAGATGTGTTTGATTTGTGTTTAATTTAGTATCGATAAAAACAAATACAATTCGTTTTATAATAAATAGGGCAACATAAAATTCCAATGATCACGTGGTAAACTTAAATGAATTTGTCTCCTTTGTTCTTTTCTTCTCTCAAGCGAATGGTTGTTGTACAACCCAAAAATGGCTAAACATTAAGTGAATCGAAAAAAAGATGATTCGATTCTGAATTTTTTTTTTTCTTCTTGGAAAAACGTTTCCACACCGATTCACGTGAAAAGTCAGGTATTGTTTCAATTTATAATTTCATTTTGATTATTGGTCACGATCGCTGCAGCGACAGAAGCAGCGCCTTTATTCTCGCTTGTCCATAGCGTCGTTCAGCTTCGCGAACGAATGCATTTTCCATTTGTTGAACAATTGCATCGAAAAACAAATGCGATAGGTGTGAATGTAATGCCGATTTGAATTCGAATGTTACACGAAAATCAATGACACACGAATCAGGTACATCTTTTAAACCAGGACTAAAGCCCCAATAATTTTGCAAATAGTTAAATAGTCGACCATCAAAGCATTCGGATTTGATGAGATTCGGCGATTGTAGGGTTAAATTCGATGTATATCGTTCATATATTGGTGGAAAGCCTACAACTAATTGAGCCTGTGCGGAATTCGCTTTGCGATTGTCAACCGTTGATTTCTTACAATACGGAACAAATGATTTGTAATTATCAACATCAGCGACCACATCGTACATTTGTTGCATTGAGTATCTAAAATAGAGAGAGAGAGAGAGAGAGAGAGAGAGAGAGAGAGAGAGAGAAAAGCACATCAAAAAGAAATGTGAATAACATACAATGCACAGTACACGGAAGATTGACACACACTGAAGGCCATTTTCTAATCAAATACATACCCAACTAACTCTTTACGCTGATACTCTTTTTTCTTGCTAACTGCCACACCAAATCCAAATATATGCCGTGTATTATGTAATTGATTGGACCTAAAACACAAAAACACAAATAAAAATTGCTGCAAATATCCGAAATACTTCACTGTATAAATTGAGTGCAAATAAAATTAAATCAATTGCAACTAGAAACTTAGAGTAAAATTTCAAGATCACTGACCTTGGACCCAACTTACATGGGTACACACTGTATCGTTCAACAGAAACTTGTTGTCAATTGTGTGTGCGTTTTCAAATTTCACAATATCAAACCTGAATGAAATCACTTGGTAAATTTCAGATGAAAAATCGCATTCGTACTTACGTTGGTTTTGTATAAAATCCATTCTGTTGAACGGAATTCGAAATGATGCTACCACTTTTTCGTAATAATTTATTCATTGTCGCTTGCAAACGCAGTCACATTATTTTTGCTTTCGATATTTATTTCCTTCTTTACTGTGTGGTGCTATTGAGCGCGATTTCTGTTCAGAAATGTGTATTCATCGTGTGTGCACATGCGGAATAGTTTTCAGTGTCGTGAACGTCAGTCACGCAGCAACAACAACAGCAGCAAAACTGAGCAGCTGCTACTGCTCACACACTTGACAGCTTTTCATAACCACAACAAAACAAACCACTGTGTTGACACTTTGCTTCTGTTATTATTGGTACATTTGATGCGTGGTGTTGCTATTGATTAGTGGCTTTGCACTGTGTGAAATCGCTTCTTTTTTTGAATGGATTAATTATGTGATTTTGAGCTAACAATGGTGGATGTGAATGTAAAAATTGTCATCGGAATTGCGGTGCTCTGCATGAGTCTGCATTGTGTACAATCGTCAGCCGGGGATAGAAGCCAATTTATGGTCAACTGTATGAAAGGATGCTTGTACAATAACTGCACTGAAGGTGAATTGTACTCACTGAGTATACCCTTTTCTTAGGAGATTTTTTTTTTGTTACTTTGATGACACAAAGTGAACTACTTAGACATTTTATCAATGAACTTACATTATTCAACAATTTTTTAACACACATAGATGCCAGCTTCAAGGAACACATCAAACAAGATTTCTTTAATGATATTCTACTGTGGAATTGCCACGACGAATGCGTTTATCATTGCATGTGGCGAACAACCAATGCATTTATCAGTCGTGAATGGCCGGTTCCGCAATTTTTCGGTAAATGGCCGTTCAAACGCGTTTTGGGCATTCAGGAACCCGCTTCTGCATTCTTTTCCTTCCTCAATCTCATGGCACATTGGCGAATGATTCGCAAATTTCGAGCCGAAGTACGAAGCGACAGCCCAATGTATTACATTTGGCATATATTTAGCGGAGTAAGTTCACAATTGGTGACAGCAAATTGAAGACCGTATATGGTCATTAATGCATTGATATATCATTAACTATGAACGTTTCAAATCCGTAGATTTGCATAAATGGTTGGATTTGCTCAATTATCTTCCACACACGAGACTTTCCACTCACCGAACTTCTCGACTACGGGTTCGCTTATTCCATGGTGTTAGCCAATTTTTGCTGTATGATTCTAAGGTAAAGTTTGTTCTTTTTTTTTCCTTTTTCAATGACTCACTGATAAAAGTACGAAGCCAAACAAGAAAAAACATTTTCAGATCTATTTTGGTTTTACTAATAAAAATAACATATTTCTTCTTCAGAATGCTTCATTGGACGACTGGCTGGATAAAAGCCTTCATAAGTTTAATGTCATCAATGTTCTTTATCAATCATTTCGCATATCTGTCGGTGGGACGCTTTGATTATCAGTACAACATGAAAGCCAACATACTTACGGGTAGGATAAATTAAGCAAATGGCCTTTAAATTGAAATCTTAAGGCTAGGTTCCAAATTTCAAAACCAAATAGCTGATAAATGAATGGTTTTCTTCCTATTTAGGCATAGCAACCGGTATTGGATGGGTCATTTGGTACTTTTTGCAACGAAAAAAGAGACCATATTCATGGAAGATGTTGCTGTTTCAATTTTTGGTCGCAATTTCTCTATTGCTTGAGGTCAACGATTTTCCACCGTTGTTCTGGGTATTGGACGCGCACGCTTTATGGCATTTATCCACCGTATTGCCTACGGTTCTCTTATATAGGTAGATATTTCATTTATTTCGCTTTTTTTTTTTTTTTTGAAAGAGAATGGAAATTTATCCAATGAAAAAAAATCATTTCCTCTTACAAAATCACGTCGTTTTTTCATTGTTCAAATGACAAACAGCACCTAAATAATAAATCACTACTTCCGTTTCAGTTTTCTAATTGATGACACTCAAAGCCTTCGGCGTGAGAAGTTCGAAGCCGAAGCACTGGACGACAAAGAAAAGTTAATTTGAAGATCACCGTGTAACAACAAATTGATGCTAAAACAAGAAAATCTAGTCATAAATCGCTTGGTAGATAATTTAAGTTTTGTAATAAAAGAAAACCAAAATCAGTTCAAAGTTGTGTGTCACTTGGATTTGCGATTAGAAATAATAAATTTATTTATAAATCAAATAAAACATTATACAATGATTCGCTCGCATTTTGATATTAATCTAAAGAGCCAAATAAAGAGTACCAAATGAAAGGGGGGGGGGGGGAACTGTGTGATTTTGAATTGGTGTGATCGATTAAAACAGAAGTGGAGATCAATTCTCGGAACAGAAATGGTGATTTGGAAAAAAAAGAAGATTTTGATGATGGATTTAAAAAAATATAGCTATCAAAATCCTTGCGCTGTTTTCTGTGCGTATGACTCGATCTCTCGCTGTATCGTATTACTTTGGAAACTTTGAGCTTGCGATGTTATTTGTTGGATTTTACTTTTCGAGATGGCTTAGATTTATTTGTCTTTTTTCTCATTATTCAACGAGTTGTACAGCCGTGAAACTTCATTGGCTACAAGGTTTTCAAACACGATGCCATTGACATCAATATAATTGGCGCATGATTTTGAAATCGAAGCCTCTCGCACACCTTTCGCATCTTTCACCGTCAAAAACAATGTGTATTTGTCATCGAATTTCTTCATTTCAGAGCTGGCTTGCCACGTTTTCGAATTGGAACCGTCTTTTTGTTGCATCACCGCAAAGATTCCCTTCTCGCGGAACATTGTGTATAGTGTGAGAATAGCCATCAAAATGAAGTAAGATGCAACGCAAATAATCAGAACGGGCCTAAAAAACAACGATTCCGAATTTAGCTTTTGTTTTATGAGTGAATGAACGGTTTTTCGTTTTAACATTTCACTTACTTGGATTGTGGGAATGGATATTGATAGTCCCATACCAAAGCCAGGGCTGCAACGCCAACGGCTAGTGTGCAAATCAATAGACGACCATCGACCAAACCAAAACACTCGACCGAATTCGGTTTTTCCAAGAGAGCACCTTTGACAGCATCATCAAGTGCGTGCTTCACCGCTGATCCATCCCATTTGTTAATTTTCAGTACCTACAATAAGAATCATTTTTTAATTTCGTGTTTTGCAATTTTCCAGTGCAAAATGAAACACTCGCAGGCGCTTTTCTTCGATAACAACACAGTTGCCATTTGAGTGACGTGTCCCAAGGAATTGAGGTTATTCGGGAATATTGTGTATTTTATCACCCGTAAAAAATCGATTACAACCGGTAATTACCTCGATTTCTTTTTCATTTTTCTCGTCTTTCTTTGGTTTCGATGCCATTGTCACAAAATTTGCTATAAAAAAAATTCCTACGGGCAATTTAAACGAATGCTTCAATTGAGATTGATGTTCGGAATCGGTAATCGATTGTGTCGCATCGACAAACTATAGCTCAAGCCTAAACAAACGCTGGAATGTAACACGTATTGTTTTTGACGTTTGACTGATGAAAACCATTCGATAACAATAGCCGATCTCATTGTACTTGCACACACAGATGGCGACACACACTTATGGCCGTCTCTGTCACACCATTTGCTTTTCATAACGAACATAGACACAGTTGCACTTTGGCGCCGTCATTTGAATCCGTCTGTTTGAACGAAATTGGATTTGATGATTATAAAGTAATCAAGCGTTTTTTTTTTGTACGAAAAAAGATATTTTCGTCGAAATCCAAGGAATAACGGTTCAATGCGTTAGAAAAATGGAATATAAACCAATAAATCATACATCTAAAAAAACGTTTTTCAACAGTTTTTATTGATATTTGTTTATTGAATTTGGTTTTTGTAAAAATAAAATTTTCTTCTTTTCTCTTAAAAAAAAACTAATAGAATCGTCTTCTCTTTTAACTTACCATTGAGGCATAAATTGCGCTCAAAAACCACTCAAAAATTAAAAAAGTTAACAATTCCACAATTTTTATTTCTTTTTCTCTTTTTTTTTTCTCAGTCTAGACTTAATGAAATATCACACATGTTCAGGTATCTAAATTTAAACATTTTACAAAAATATAGTAAAATTTATTAGCGATTTTGGGCGAATAAATTTTTCATTTGCCGAAAATTAACCGATTTCTTGGCCATATCAATTCTTTTTTGTAATTTTTTTTTTTGCATTTTCCCGATGATGTTGTGTAGATTTACATCAATCTCTTCTTCTTCGATTTGATTGAGTAACCAAAAATGACTAGCGGTTACAATGGTGGCATGAATGTTAACATATTCAGAAAATAATAGAAACAATTTAGCGTTTTCGCTTCAAACATTTTGCTACATCATTCTCATTGTTTTGTTGATAATATTGGTTGAGTATGATTAAAATGTCAGTTTTTGATCGAATATTATGAGAAAACAATGCGGCAGTGATGCACGAGTCAAATGTTTTTATCGTTTTCATTTAAATTTAGAGACTTCTGGAAGATTAGTTTAGTTGTTTCGCCGAAACTCTCTTTCTCATTGGAATGCAAATAATAGAATTAGCAATGGCACAGATAAAACGCATATTAGATACATGATTGTTCTTGGTTCGCATTCAGAAATCACAATGAATTCCTCGTTCCACAGCGTTTCATTCGAGTTGAGTGGCAACTCGAATACAACTTTTTCGTTGGAAAAGAAATTGAGCGATAAACGACATTCACCGGTGGCATTGTTACACGATTGAATCGAATTCGATACATCGTAAACCGTTTTTTGAATGTCAAACTTGACACGGATGTAGTTGTCCTGCACTTCATTTTCACTGTTGAACACAAAAAAGTAGTAGCCATTGATTGGTACGGTGTATGTGATTTTATTGGATTGACTCGCTCGACCAAATTCATGCTCATTGGCTGCATTATGACATTCCCCATTCGGTGAGAGCGGCAAGCTTAGAATTAGACCTGTTTGTGTGTTTGAAAATGATGAAAACAATTTTTATATTGAAATGATCATATGGAATAGAAAGAGTTTTGAAAAATGAAGGGATTCCTTCAAAAAAAAAATGTCGAAGAAATACTTTTTAATAGCAAAAAATAATTATTTTTTGCTATAATTCAAACTAAGAATTTCAGTACATTTTTCTTATTCAAAAGAAGGAATATTCTATTGCGTCTTAAAAATGTCCATTCAATTTTCAATACAAACCTGCACAATTGAGTAAAGCCTCTTCGCTCGACGAAAACGATGACCAAAACTCCGAATTCGAACGATCATTCAGATTCGTATGATTCAACACATGATGATGGTCGGCGATACCATCTGGAACATAGCCCTGAAAAAAGACAATAGTTTCTTTGTTTAGTTGCTCACGGGTGTTTAAATTAAGGCGGGTTAAGAATTCAAATACGACAGATGCTTACTTGTTCAATGCCCAAGTTCTCACTTTCATCCATAGCCGAAGATAGTTCATTCTCCAAAGTCAATTGTCTTTTGAGACGGCGCAATTGCTCTTTGGTTAATTTTGGTGGATTTTCGGTGGTCGATGCCGACTCTGGTTCAGCCGATGACACTTTGGTTGGCTCAGTGGATGAAGCTTTAGATGGTGGAGACGTTATCTTATTTTCTAAAATTGAAAAAAAAAAAAACGAAATGCATCAGTCGAAGAATCGAAAATGTTCAATTTTCCACTTCGAAGCACTTTGAAGTAGATGACAAAGAAAAAAAAGAAATTTGAATTGCAGATCACTCACTTCGTTTCCTCTTGTATGTGCCCATTTTTGGTTCGTGCATGTCTAAAATTTCAACTTCGTCTTGAACTGATTCGGAATCGGTTGATTTTTTAGTGGTGGTAACTTTTTGTGATTTTAACGTTACGCCTGACTTTTCTTGGTCCGTTGGTTCTGCACCGTTTTTAGGTGCAACTGATCCCTTAAGCTTGTTCAAAATATGGTTTCGTTTCTCCGTTCCGAGTTTGTCCAACTGTTTAAGAACATCTTCAAGAATTTCGCTCGATGTTGCATTGAGGTTTTCTTCATCGTTAATAGAAACCACTCTAAAATCCAGCACAATTCAATCGATACCCATTTTTAAATTTTCCAATTTTTTTTTTAGAATTTTGAGTAAGATTCTTACCTCCTCGGTTCATCGGCGGGCATTTTGTCGATGTTATTTTTCGATTCGATTTTTACGTTTTCTGTTTCATGATTGCCAATATTGGTTCCACGTACTTTATGCACATGATCAGCTTGTTGTAGCTTAATAAAATCTTGAATATTCAGTGTTGATGGTATTTGTTTGCCGATGGCTCCGGTTTTGTTGAGTTTTTCGCGATTTTCAATCTCGATTTTCAATTGATTTTTCAATCGATCCACACGTTTGCCCATGTTTGTATTGTTATACACCACATTTGCCTTGAACTTGTTCGCTTTGTGTGGCAATAAATTGAGTAGCTCTTTCATTCGTTTGCCGGAAATATTGTCTTCACTATCTTTGGCCAGTTCTTGTAACGGTGAAAATGTGAAACTTTCCTTATTTTCACGGAGGCGATCGTCGTGGAACTCAACGCCCGGTCGATGTTTGGTCAACAAATCGACACGATTTGCTGGGCTTTCGGGTGACGAAAAATGCAAATCACCAATTCCTTTTTCTTCGGCAATTTCAAGCAACTCTTCCAGTTCTTCCGACGAATCGTCTCCAATGTAGGCACATTGCTGCAAATGTTTGTGACCACGAATCAAAATCAAGGATGACCCTGGCCACCTGCACAAAACGGAATTGACAACGAAAAAGCAGGGGGAGAGAGAGAGAGAGAGAGAGAGAGAGAAAAGGGAAAAGATCAGAGAATAATTACGTTACATCACTTTTGTAATGCGATTAGACAAACACTGATTAAAAATTTTGACTACAAAGAAGGCAAAAGCGACGCAAATTCCGTAGCATTAAGTGCATTCAAGCGTCATATGTGTCGTCTGCTATTTGCCGTTGCAATCTTATCAAGTTTGCCAACGAAAAAGATTATTTGGTTCGAAATCAGCGCTAGTTGTTGTTCATAATTGGACTAAATAACAATCGTGCAATTCATGCTTTTGATGAAACGATCAACATATTGCAATAGCTATTGATGTACGTTATTCAAATGACTTACCGTGCACACGTTGATACCGTGACAATTGAACCTTTTAGCAAATAGAAGCCCCAATATTCTTTCATGTCGTCGCTAAGTTCCAAGTGCCTTTTGAAAAAAAATCCAACCAATTTTGTTTTCTTTCAAAAATTCATTCCAGACAGAAAATCAAAGCGCAATAACTGCACCGGCGTTTTCATCTTACCTGACCATATTGACGTGAATACGATTGTTTGCCACGTTCGGCACTTCGGGCAATAGAAATGCGTTGAACGATGTATTGGCACGTATGACTTGACGTTGACACCATGTGGTCGATACTTTGCCATCAATTAAACGCATATCCGATATGCCAACGGGATACATTTGATAAGCGAATACGTGATGTCTAAATCAATGACGTATGGATCGATTACGTTTAAAATAATAGATAGATTAATCATCAATTGTTTCGGTTTGTGTCGTCATCGTAGCGAATTTCTTCGAGAAAAAAAAACAAACAAACGTAAAATATGATACTTACTTCAAATAGAGTGGCACACCGATTAGCAAACCCGGTAGAACAATACACAGAATACATAGCCGTAATGCACGTTTCGGACCCTGAAAGCTTCTGCTTTTTTTCCATTCAGTTTTATAGTAATATGGGTTTCCACCACGAAGTGGCTCCTCGTACGAATCAAATTGATTGATTGGATTCATTTTTGTTTGGCCCTTTTATGGTCACGTAGTCACATTTAACAAGTATTGTGAAACTTGTTGTTTCGCTCCGAAGCGGTAGCCTCACCAAAAAGCTATTCGATTGGCGGCTATATTTGGCTGTTGTTGATTGTAGTGAATGGAGTCAGATAAATGTCTGAAAATTAAATGAAAAAAAAACAGTTTTTGGAGTTTCAATTGAATTTTTAACACTTTTCTCACTACTTCTTCGATTTTGGTTGTCGAAAAAAAGTGCGAAAAAAAACCAAAGCGAACACATGTCTTTTAATTGTTTCGTCTAATGACCGACGATGAATCGTTTTAATGTTTACTCAAAATAAACAATTTGTTAAATATTTCTCTCAAGCACAGACACTTTCTTGCTCTCTTGTTCGGTTTTGCCATTTTGTGTCTCTAAAAAAGATTGAATATTGCATGCTCGGAAACAATTACACACGCTTCCCGATCAACACGCTGTATATACATGAAACTATCTGCTCTCTCTCTCTCTCTCTCTCTCTCTCTCTCTCTCTCTCTCTCTCGCTCTCACTCTCAATCTACCTTTTGGGCTATTTTTGAATGCGAAACTCGCAACGGAAAAATGGTATTAACTTTCAAATATAAACGGTTTTCTGTGTTGAATAAATGAGCGATGCGGAAGGATTTCTTCTTGAACACATTCCGTTAGGCATGCAAAAATCCTCAAAATTAAACTTTATATTGTGCGCCGTGTATGCCGTTATTTTATACTTCCTTTCCGCACGAATCACAGAATATCAGTGCGGCCATGTTTGGCTTGCCAAGCGACAAATTGTGTTTCGATTCTGTCTTATCTCTTTGTTCGATACAATCAACGGCAACCTTAAATTGGTCGATAGTATCGAGGGTGATCTTTGTCGATGCATCTCAATGGCCAAATGAAATGTCGCACAATATTGTACATGCCTCAAACAAATATGTACACATTGATAAAAGTACCACTTTTTTGTTCGCTTTTTTTTCGTTGTTGAAGTACAATGACAACGAAATTATTTTGCTGAAGCCAACAAAAAAAAGAGTATTTTTTTTATTGACGTGTGGCAATCTCATCATCATCACATACACAGCCTGAAGTGCATTGTTTTTTTGTTTCACAAGTAAATTTTTATATGCTCACGATTCGAAACGAAGGGAGCAAACGAAAACGGAACAAATAAACCTTTTTGCACCGGCTATCGTTTCGGAATTGGAAGAAAAATGACGAACTCGCAATAGATAAAACGTAACTAATTAATCATCATTACGTTCGTACAAAAGTGCCTAGGTCGTCGCAATTATCGCGCATGCCATCAAATGCGTTCTATGCATACATTTGGCCACTTAAGTATATGGCAAATAAAAGCGGAAAACAAAACAAAACAAACCAAATTGCACCTAGTCATTGATGGGCTTGTGTGTGAGAGAGAGTTGATAAATCACGGTAATAATTATATTGTCGGGTGTTAGAATTGAATATACGTAAAAAATCTCTCTGTTTTCCTATACGCTTTCAATATACCAGGTTGAACAACCACCTGATTTACGAACTTATGACGGTGAACTAACAAATTCTTTTCATGGGTCTTCAGTTCACGCTAAAGAGCAAACAGCAAAAACAGAAAAATGGAATTAAACGTTGACACATGCAACTCCGATCACAATCACGCTTCCTATCAGGTTGCACTTTGATGCACTTGTCAATATATTGAATATGTTCCGTGCAGCATTTAGGTGCACGTGTCGTAGTACTTTGATTTTTTTAATTTGCTAGCCACAAATCGACTGTACGTATTTAATGCAATGATCGCCCGAGATGCACTGTGTTTATTTGGCTATTTTACATACAATGCAAGCGATTGTTTCGGACATGATGTCATTGCGAACTGACACCTTGCTGTTGAAATGAACGTTTGTTTTCGTAAACAATATTGACGCCGCAACTGCCACCGTCCCCGGAAGGTACGAAGAATTCGACACATTCGTTGAACTTGAGTTCAAACTGCATTTTGCTATTTCATTGATTTCTCAAAATTTCTTTCGAATGAAAAAGCATATTTTTCTTTTTAATAATTTTGTGAATGGTTCGGTCCAAAGGAGCAAACGTTCAAACAGTTTCGAATTTCAACATTTTACCTAATAATATCTTCAAAGCAGAAAACCGAATTGACATCAAAGGATGCAGATGTCAACGGCTACATATCGTATATCGGTGAACTTGAAAACAATGCACTCTTCTTGCTTTGCTTTGTTCCGTTTGGTTCGGATTTGTTTGAATTTTCTGTTTGATTCAACGGAAAAACAACTCACAGCACCTATACCATTGCAACAAATTGACACCAGAGCTACAATTGAACGGAATCGACCGAATTTTGTTGAATGAAAACCAATCAACCAAATAAATGCCTCCGACTCACCAATTAAAACTAGATTTTATCGTCATATAATTATCGTTATCGAAATCGGTTGACACACCATCAGTGTTTCGATGCGCTCACTTGAAAGTCGAGTATTTGCGCTCTATAAATAATCTGGTTGCGATGACCACAAAAATGGATTCGCGGTGCACATTTTCTCTCGGTCAATTGCATGGAGCGTGCATATTCTTATTGTCTTAATGGGCTGCACACGCCTGGAATTAGATTTCGATTATGCCCGAAAAGATCATCATAATTAAGCGAGAGAAGAATTGGATTTTTTGTTGGAAAATCATTAATTTGTTCATGACAATGTAACAAGTTAGGCAAATTGTAGTGGTTTGAGCGATAGGCGCAACTTATTTGAATTGCGCATTCTATCTAGTATTTCGATTGGAATGTTATACAACGACTGGTCGCAAGCAATATACAGATTCCTTTCTTCTCCCCCTCTCTCTCTCTCTCTCTCTCTCTCTCTCTCTCTCTCTCTCTCTCTTTTACTCTCCTAGAGAGAAAAGAATATTAAAAAAAAAATGAATGATGGTAATTAGTTTAAAAAGGAAAACGGCAGCGGTGGCGATGGCAGTGAGATAAGTTTTGTTCACTTCGAAAATGAGGAGGCAGACGTAATTTAAACCGTGTTCAACATCTATTTGCAGCAAAGTTAATGTTCGAGAAACGGCGCAAATAAATCTATCGCCAAATGGCGTTACATTATTCCTATGTGTGTGCACTTGATTTGAACTCGTTCTGGCGACTCTCTTAATGAAGTAGAACGCATATTCCTGTTTATGGTCATGATGGCAGCCGCCATTGTCGCTGTATATTTGTTTTTCTTCGTTTTTATTTCAATTTTTTATCGAATTTTAATTTCAAGTGGATTATATAGTTAGTGACAGTGGGTGTGTGTATGTGTATGTGTTTGTGCATGAGACAAAATGTATTCACTGTGATTGAGAACAAACAAATGATTGCGTCTCTATCATAGACACAGATAGATTTGGCTTGTTCTTTTATCAAATATTTAAATACACACAGAGACCGACTTTATCACCATACAATGATTATTGTGTACACAATTTGTGGGCCAATTGTTTATTGCCTTTTTGACTGGCTCTGCTGCATTCTCACAGTCTATATTTGCGTTGTATTCCTTTATAAAATGTATGTTCGTCGGTGCTCTCATTCGGCTGTACATTGAGTCCACACAGCAAAGTTCACCATCGTCATTTTATGATATACGAAATACGAAAACGGGCTGATAGGATTCTTTTTATTTTCGGTTCGTTGTCGTTGTAACAAAATGACAATTCACTTTATCAGAAGCGAAGAAGAACACGAAGAGGCCAGTGAACATACTGAGATAACGAATTTGGTGTCAATGCATATTATTTACAGATTACAATTGTTCAATTGCACTCGGTCGTTTGAGTAACTCGGACAATGATGACAATGATGGACTAAAATGCCCATTGATTGTGTTTAATGCACTTTTCCATTTTTCTTTTGTGTACTTTCTCACAATGGCCACAAACGAATCACCATTATAAATGCTTACATGACCCAAAATAGTATCAACCACCCTCCGAAAAAAACATCTGATATTTTGGTATTTGGCAATCTACTACTTGAATTTCATTCAATTGAATGGAAAACACTTACCCAAAAATCGGTTCAAGGAGCTAAGGTGCTATGCTTTATTGGTCACTTTGAATTGATGAATATTAGCACGGTACTTAACAGATTCGTCGCAACCCCAATACCATATCAAAATAATGTGCTAGACATTCGATGTCTATTCCGAAGCGATATTGATCCCAATTACAAAATGTTTTTTTCTTTCGTTTTTCCTTTTCTTCTCCTTTTGCTAGCCACTTTCTTCCACACGTGTAAGTTAGATTGTTTACAACTATTTACTGTCCGTATCAGGTTTTGTTTGTATTAGAAGTTCATATTTTACTTCGCGCAAAATATTTCACACGAATCATTTATAGAGTCATTTAAATGATGTGTTATCGTTTATATTTCTTTCTTTTTTTTTGTAGGAAAATTCGTCTCTTAGCATGCGCCAAACTTACCGGTTCACTTGACTAAGAGTAATTAAATTGGTTGTGTCTATCACTTGGGCTTGATGATATCGTGGAGCGAATGATATGAACGGCGATTACGATGTCGAGCCGTATGCTAAACGTGTTGAGATGTTGGAAGAAAGGCGCGCGCGCGTTTGTGTGTATGCGCAGAGGCACTTCAATCAATCGAAACAGAATGAGACGCGCGAGTTGTGTGAAAAATACTACTCACTGATAATACACCAATTAAGAATGTAAGTGAGAATGGAGTTCCTTGGATGTGGTCCCTCAGCAACAATGTATTTTACGCACTCGACACGCCGACCAATAATTCACAAGTTGGCTGGGTTTTTTCTTTGCATTGATTTTAGATTGATATTGTTATAAGTGTCAACTCGCTTTCACACATATGCTACTAACTCGCTGTCTACCGGTCGCCGTAATTTTAAGCGCGATAAAATTGTACTGATTGTTGATGAAGATTTTTCATTCGGTTTTATTCATCGCAATATTTATTTACACATTTTATGAGGTTGCATCAAAGATTTGCGCCACAGTCGCGACGTTTATGACTTTTTATAGAATTCACATCGAGTACCGAATACAATATCTTTGTCGTATGCACGTGTTTTTTTTTGTCTCCTTGTTTTTTTAAAACCCAAATAAAGCCGGTGATGATAAGTTTGTTTTGATTTTGAATGTGTGGCAAATCAGTGGACGCCCATTCAATAGCATTAACACATGCACTTTAAATTCAAATATTCACGATTCTTGATGATTGTTTTGTTTTCCAACTGTTGGTTTCACCTTGTATGCATGAGTTCGTTGGCTGTTGATAATGATCCACTGAACTCAAATGTAGGAATTTCACGTTATTTACACCACCGTATTAAATAACACGAGTGCGCCTCTAAATCACCTAATTAATTAACGCAATGATATGCGCGTGTGTCTCTGTATCAAATTGCTTAGCATTTAATTGTATGTCGCAACGCTTAGACAGCGTGATCCCATTCTAATTTCGATCTAAGTGTGTGTGTGTGTGTGTGACTTGCCGCTGTTATGTTTGAATGTTTCTTTTTCGTCGTTTCCTTCGAGACCATATCAAAATCGTACCTCCCGATTGTTTGTTGTCATTTTCGGCGCAAAAATTTCAAACATAAAAATTTCACCTTAGATGCAAAATGCTAATGAACTCACGAAAAAAAACCACCAAAAATATTTGGTTGTTTTGAAGTCACATGAGTTCGTATGCCAAAACTAAGCCTGCCTTTATTACATTTATTTACAGAGAAGAAGAAATGAAAAAAAAACAAATTGAACGTTTTTAATCCACACAAGTTGCTCCAACACACAAAGTGAATGTGGTGCGTGCGTCGAATATGAACGCTCGTTTAACGACTGATATGTCCAAGCTCTATTTTCTAGTAAATATAGACGAAAGTGTGTGCGAGAGTTTTTAAGTTATTTGTTGCGTTCGCTATTGTCGCCGTTGTCGACGACGCTTCATCATTTCTTTTTTTCTCCTCTTCTTTTTCTTTTTAGTTGATTTTTTTCAGTGTGTTGGCTTCCTATATTGATATTTCGGTGATGTACATGAGTACATGACAGAATAAAAACAATAACAAACATTTCAAAGTGCTGGTTGCATGTGTGTGTATGTGGGTTTGTGTGCATTTGCATTGTGCAATGGATTATGTTACAAATGACAAATGCAACTTTTAGGTATATAATTTGTGTAATGCCACCTTATGTGTGTGTTTCGTTGGTTTTTGTTTCCTTTGTTGTCGCACACACTTCCTCAACATTGGAAACAGTCCATTTTGCCAATCGATCCATTTTGGTGAACATGGAACGTTGATGTCGGTGATTACAAGTCGCTTATCACGACAACGATAAGCACATTACTGAATAGTTTGTAAGCTAAAAGGGCGGCGCATTTTATTTGTACAACTGATCGCAAGCATAAGCACGGCTATCCCGTGTGAAGAGAAATGTATGGGCGTCCAATCCAATCCAATCCAATAATGTTGTCATGTTCGCAGAAAACAGAAAATTTAAATAAACATTTCAATCTTATTTATTTTGTCATAACATAAAACACATCTTCGATCAATTGATCATTTGCGACTCTTTTTTTTTTCTTCAAATTTCATATTGTTTTCATTTTATTTCGAGAATTGACATCGTATTTTGGAACAATGATACAACTAAAATGACATCAATAGAATTAAAATATTGTACAAATCGATTGAGATTGAATGTTACATTTTATTTTGTTTTGTTTTTTTCTTCCATTTTGTTTTTTAAATTGTTTTAAATCTTATCTCATTAAAATGTTTTTTGTTGTTGTTGTTGTTGTTCTTGTTTCAAATTACTTTAATATAATGCAAATCACTGAAGGATTTTCAGTCCTGGATAAATTGTTGCAAGCGGTGTATGTTGTTGTTGTTGTTGTTCTTCAGAGTGTTTCATGTTTTACTGTATTTTTCTATGCGCATGTAGCGAAAAAATCTTTTAGAAGGGTAATTCGTAGTTTTTCAGCAATATCCATTTGATTTTCAAGATCGGCCCGATCTGTGGTTTCGGCACGTTCAAATTTCCACGATAAATTTTCTATTTCACTTTCGAGACGAGCCTGCGCAAACAATAAGAATGTAAGAAGAATTTTAGTGAGAGAAAAAATGATGTGAATGGTTTGCTTCAGTGCTTGGAAGAGAGCATTTCCAAACAAGGAAAAAAAAAAACATTTTTTTTTTCAACAATGAAATCAAGAAATAAAATGCGAAAAAGCCAGAAATAAATCAATGTTACCTGTTGGTATTCAAATAGTGATTTTCTTGGTCCAGATTCCATGAAATATGCATATGGATATGTGTATTGCAATGTGTATCGGCATTTAGCTAACAACGAAGCGGCTGTAAATAAATATTGCCAATCGATCCATGTGCCTAGGCCTTTCATAACTTTTTCGTTGATGCGTTGCTTTAGGCGATCGAGCGTTTGTTGTTCCAATTGAAACGATTTCGAATGGTTTTCCCAGCGTTCATAATAATGTAAATACTTTTTTAGAGCTTCACGTGCCTGTGCATGCACCGATTCGTGGGCAATGTTTGGATTTTCTTTGTACCGTGAACACTCATAATATTCGGAACCATGTGATTTCCAATCGCCCAAGCACATCCAACAAAAATCATGTTTACAACTAAAGCATTGCATATGATTACAGCCACCATTCTTTTCGATGCATATATGACATTTTGGGCAATCTTTTGTATGTGCACTAATATAATTGGCGGTCTCACTGTCGTCCGCACATTTGGTCAGCCATTTTTTGATCACTTTACAATCGGTCGGCGCATGATAGTCCATACCGCACAGGAAACAGAAGACCGTTTTGCATGTATCACATGTTGCCTTTTTTGGGCTCAACTCTTTGCTACGGATTATCACTTGACAATTTGGTCCTGGACAAAATCGCAGTTCCGGATGTGATTTGACATAGTCTTGAAATGCAAAATGCTGATACTTTGTACGCATATTTGGCTTACTTAATAGCGTTAACACCAAATCTTCAGGCACCAATACATTACAGTGTGTCGCCATGCAACCGATTCCCGTTGAAATGCCCTGATTGATTTGCGTCTCGAAATGCGTCGACCAGCAATCGCGGCAGTATGAATGACCACATGGAATTGAATGGAATTTCTCAAACGTTTGATAGGCAGCACAAACCGAACACATCAACTGATTTGGCCGAATTTCGAGCGTCGTCGCCGTTGTTGTTGTTGTTGTTGTTACTGTTGCCATCGTCGCGCTGTCGCTCGAAAGTCGATTACTGTCACCGGTTTGAGATCGACTACCTAATGACGATTTACAACTAAGTGTGTTCGAATGAACGCTACTATCCGGTGACGATGACATCGTCGTCGTCGTCGTCATCGTCGACGTCATCGTCGAAGACAATGTGGCTGACACTGTTGTAGCTGACGCTGTTGGCGTCTCCTTTGGTTGGGCTGTGCTATGAATAATCTCTGGCTTTATTCGGGCCGATGTCTATTGAAAGACAAAGATAGAGAGAGAGAGAGAGAGAGAGAGAGGGAGAAGACATACAGTTTTTCGTTCACGATTCACCTCAAAATGACATTGTCTTACCAGAAGCTCCGTGGGATCATCACGATACTTTTTTATAATTTCATTAACGTTCCATCGATGCTCCAGTAGCAGTGTTTTAGCCAGCGATGGTACACAGTTTATTGTATTGCATAGACATTCAATCGATTCATTTAACAATTTATCAACATCTTCGACGGACAAACATTCAAATAGAAAACTTTCTGGATCCGTTTTTAAAGCGTTATGGTGTTCGATGTCTATATCTTCAGTGCCTGTGTTGTTTGTGGAAATAGCCAAACGCACATTTCGATTATTTTGCATACAAAAAATAGCCAAACGTACATATTCCAATATGGGGCCGAAAGCGAGAGAAGAACAAAAACGAGGTCAATATGGAAATGAGTAACGCACCTGTGTTATAGTAGTCATCATATTCGCACTCGTTATCCGAGGAATATTCCATATCCGAACAGTCTGACATCTTGGAAGATCGGATTTATTTATGTTTATTATTTTTGCTGCGTGCGCGCTCGTTGAATTCAATAAATTAATTGTTTGTCGACCAAAGAAAAAAAGGAGAACAAAACCAAAAAAAAAAGAGTTGTGTGTGTGGTTTAGTTGTTTGATTTCAAGCAGTCCAATCAATTCGTGTTGTTTGTTGTCCACGTATTGCTCCGAGGTAGAGAGAGCAAGCGAGAAATTCTATCGAACTGCTTAAATTCAATAAAATCCCGTTTGTTCGTCGAATTCTTAGAGTGTAGCCGCTGTCACATCATCAACACTAAATATATTGTTGTGTTTTTTTTTCGTCGTCGCCGTCGCCGTCGCCGTCGTGGTCGTCGTCGTCGAATGCCAATTAATGTATGTGTTGTTGACTCTATTTTGTTTTCGCTTGCCTCTTTCACTCACTTACGCATTACCATGCGACCACCAAAAAATAACACACTTTATTTTTCCCTGTTTTGTCCGTCGGATTGTTCCTCTGTATGCGAATTCACTTTTATCAAAAAAAAAAAACTTCTTCTTCTATATACGAGCTCGTGCGTTCTGTCCTACTCGGAAGTTGTCACACATAAAGGCGAAATAATGACCGAATGCAAACAAAAAAAAAACATCGAAATGAATTTTAAAAAATAAGAACAAAAACCAATTTTACAAACAAAATTTCACTATTAAATCAATTGGCAAAGAATTTTCCATTCGAATTTATGGATTGAAGAATAAATAAAAAGCAACTGAATAAAAGAAAAATCGTTCAAAATTCTTTCCATCGCGACATGTCTCTAGCGATTTATTTTCTTTCTTCTTCGTATGGTGTTTTCAGATTGGCATACGCATAATTGGAGAACGGAGAAGAACTAATAACATTAGAGTTCAATCAAAATGACCAGAAAAAAACCAACATTTCCCGTTTGTCTGTGGTCGTGCACTCACTCGATTTTTTTTGTCTTCTTCTTTCTGATGGTCCAATGCAAGCAGCTGCCAATGGTCAATCAATTCTTTTTTCCGCTCTCCACTTTCAATCAATTTTTATACTTCTTTTCGTTTTATTGGCTATAGTTCTTGTTTTTTTTTTTGGGGGGGTTCTGTTTCGTTCTCTTCTTTGCTTCACTTTGGTCGAAATTAGACGATGAGAAATGGCAGCAATTGGCGCACAAACAACGTAGCTCTAATTGCACAGCGAGAGAGAAAAGAGAAAAAAAACTTAAAATGTCAAATTGCAGTTAAACACACAATCTAACACACAATTTTCAGGGTGAAATCATGAAAATCGTCATGAAATTACTTGGTAACACATACGCGCGCACAACACAACCGATCCAATTTGGCTTACTTGTGTGTATATGTGATGGAATTGACTTGAAGTTAGCTGAATCACCATTGTCGGTTACACTCAACTAATTTTGACAAGAACAAAACAAATGCTGACGGTAAATTTTCAATAAAATGACCTTTTTGATTATTGAAATGTTATTTTAAAGATTTGAATTTAAATTCATAGAAAAAAGGATAGAAAAAATACAATAAAAAAGCCAATCGAAACAGTTCACCACTAGGTAGGTTTGAGCGTTGAAGTTGGCTGAGTGTGTAGCATTTCTGTCAAGGTATTCGTGTGCAACGTTCAAGTGTTGACATTTCTCCAATGAATTTGTTTACTTGTTGATACTCTTCACATGCTTTCACACAAGCAATTTCGAAAAAGAACCAAATGTCGAATTGAACCATTCTAAGGTTGTTTTCTTCTTAAAACATTTTCTACCTCAATTTTTTGATTTAAGCCTAGATTTACAACACTGTAATGAAATTATATTTTAGTGTTTTGTAAAAAATGACGGAAGAAGTGATTCATGCAAAGCGAATAAAATTGGACACGGACGAAACGAATGTGTCAAATGAACGTTGTGAAGCTGATGAGTCAACAAAGTGGAAAATCAAAGCCATTTTATCCGATGAATATTATGAGCCGTTGAAACGATGTTTTGCTTACGCCGGAGTTCTAAATGATACCAAATTAATAGGCAAAGTAATGAATGAAATATATCAACGAATGCCATTGAATGAGCTGAACCATTTGAAAAGGGTGAATAAAACGAAATTACTGTTATGTTCAATGAATGAAATGTTGCAATTTCTTTGTGAAAATCACGAGAATGAGTCGATTCAAGCAATGCTACCGCTCATAAACACCACAGCTGACGGTCAACTGGCGACTGAAGATGATTTACGAGTTGCCAAAGACGAAGTGACCATTTCTCTGGCAAAACTGTACATGACCTCCAAAGAGATATCCACGGAAGTGATAGCGGTTCTAACGGAAAAAGTGGAAATAGCAGCCGTTTCGGCTGAAGCACCAGTTCTGAGTTGGCAATACGCGGATGTGGCAAAAGATTGGCCGTGTAAATTCCATCCGAATAAAGATCTGGAAAAAATGTACAACGGAAAGTGGTTCACAGACACGGACACGGCATTTCATACTAAAATTATGGAGATTTGCGGATTTTTGTGCAAAGAATTGAAGAAGCAAGTGTCTGGCATTGCGGTGGATCCACGAACAAAGTCAATCGTTGCAATTGGTTTCGATGAATGCGATCGACATCCTTTGATGCACTGTACAATGGTACTCATTGATGGTGTGGCCAGATCACAGAACGGTGGCGCTTGGAATGAATACCTAGTCAATACGGAACTTTATTCAAATGACGAATCCGCAGAATATACACAGTATGGTGTGAGTTCGTACCTTCGAAGATTAATCACTTCCAAATTTCCGGCCATCGATGGCGGGCGATCGATTACATTCGGCGCTGAACGAGTAAGATCGGATGCGGAAAGTCGACAAATTTTGGATATAGATGTGAATAGCGATAATTTAGCGAAATATGGGCCGTACCTGTGCACGGGCTACGATGTGTATTTGTGGCGTGAACCATGCGTCATGTGCAGCATGGCATTGACCCACAGTCGAATACGCACCATTTTCTTCCATCAGACCCAATCGAAAGGTGCAATTAGGTCGCTGACCAAACTTCAATCGGTCAAAGCTTTAAATCATCATTTTCAAGTATTCCATATCACGGCAGACAGTTGAGATTTTTTTTTATCGCACGTGAAATGTAAATAAAATGTGTTGACATTTTCAATTATTCGATATTGTCATTGTGACTGAAGAGCATTGTTCATTTAGAGATATTTATAAAATGAAGAAAAAAATCGGCCATTTCGAAATAAAATTGTTAAACTGAAAACAGAAACGAGTGCTTTTTTTTTTAATTCGATGATTGATTGATAAGTCGAAACATTGTTTCCTTTATTTGGGATCATTATTATCATTACACAATTGAATGAAACTTGCATTAAATTTGAATGAGTTTGAACTTCCTTACAGATAACTTTTTCTGATTTAACCTAATACGGTCTACTCGAGTTAACATTTGTGGTGTGTCATTTAATTGAAGCTACCCAATCCGGAAAGAACGAGATTGATGGCTGCTTCGACGTCACCATTTGAAACGACCAACGCTTGAATATTGATGAGTTCTTCGAAGAGACCCATTTCGCGCATAGTTTGCAGTTCGTTGGCATACCGTTCGGCGAGATTATCATTTGCGCCGGGCAAATTCAGAGCACTAGCCGACTGGTTTGGATTTGATTGTGCGGATGTTGATTGAGTCGATGCGCCTGTACCAGCTCCAGCTCCCGCTGCACTCAATGCTTGCGATAATGCATTTGAGAACATTGAATTGCTGATCAAGCTGCCGGATGATTGTGGTGCACCAATGGTCGATGCAGATGATGCCGATGAGGTAGATGGTTGTGAGGAGGAGGATTGTGTTTGTGCCTGATTGCGTTGCGCAATATTCGACAAGGAGTTTGTCGACGATGTACCAGCCATAAGTAGCGCCTGTGCCAAATGCTCACGGCTAATTTGACGAATGTCACCGGTACGTTGATTGGGCGACACGGTCGGTGAATCACTTTCCGAACTTGATGAATCTGACAATGAATCTTCGGCTGGTTGAATATTCTGAATTAAATTCGGTTTATTGGCTGCCAAATGCTCACGAAGGCTTTTCGTCACAAAATCAGCCGAATGAATCAATATCGGATATTGTTTGGCTATATTTTTTACCGTCTCATAATCGGTCATCGATTGAATGAGAATCGAATCACGAAGAATTGCGTATGCACCCATATTTGTGTGAAATTCGGGGTATGCTTCAAGCACTTGCTTCATGATTTCCGGTCGAATGGTTTTCTATTGGAAGGAAAAGAATGGAAAATCAGAAAAATTTCGAAAAAAAAAATAGAGCGAAATTGGAAATAATTGAAAAATTGTAAAAAAAAAAGAAATGTAGCTACCGTCGATGAGCTGGCCATCTCTTTGAAAACAGCACGATAGCTCGAAACAGTCTTATGAATTTGTTCGCTGGTCGCTTGTTCACTTTTGTACTCCATATCGTACTGTTTTTGGAATACTTGAATCATTGTGCCCGAACGTACGCCATACTCCTGCAACGATTGCGCCTCATTCTCCAAAACAGTTCCACAGTAGATGAATTCTGAAATTAATCCGCAAACAAACGCAATATTTCTCTTAATTTTTTCCGCAAAAAATGTAGCCAATCACAAAAAATCGGAATCATTTTCCTCTAAATGCTTACCCAATTCTTTGTGTGGAAAATTTAGCAGCTTTTCTGCTTCAATCTTCAGATCAGCGACATTTTTTGTTATCAAATCGATATTGGTCAATTTAAGCCGTTCAAATGGTTTCTCGGGCAAACGAATTCCCAAATACAACGAAGCCATTTTTTCTCGTCTTTCACCACAATAATTATTGTTGAATTCTTGAATTTTCTTCTTCGTAGAGTAATGCCAAAAATTGTTTGGCACAAGAACAATGGATTTGGAAAACAAAGACCTTATTTAAACGAAATAACAAAATGCACTGTCACCTTGTTAATGTGAATGCGTACTGTCAAAACAAATCCAATTCGACCATATATACTTTAGCCCGAATTGAGTGCACCTCATTTTCGGGCTAGCGTCAAGTGACAGTGTAACGAAAGCACATGTACGGTGTTTTGTGTTTATATCAATCGAACGGTCAATTTTGTTAGAAAGCAACAAAAAAAAACGATGGAAAGTTTACAGGAAATTCAACAGTTTTTAACTCTTGAAACACCACAACATGTAAAATCGATAGCCATCACATATGTCCTGAGTAAGTGAATCGATAGAAAAGACGTTTCGAATTTGTGCATGAGACTAATGGCAATTGTGTTTCTAAAAGGTTTGACTGGATCCAAAGAGGGACAGGAGCTTTTGTGCAAATGTAGCGAAATTGTTGCAGCCCTTGGAAAATTAGCAGCAGAAGATAAAGATCCAGTTGTTTCAAAAGAGTCATTGTTATGCCTGGTGAACCTGTCAGCAGAAGAAGATGGTGCTGCGGTGCTTTTGAAATCGGTAAAAACCATTTACGCGATTGCAATATGCATATTCTTTATTTACGATTTTGGACATTTTTGATACAGATTTCAAAATTGACTGGAACTTGTGCCAAGAACATCATTGATGAAAATTGCACATTGGCCGATCCATGGAGTATGGTTTTGAGTAATGTTTCCCGATCGCTTCCATTGGCTGAACAAGTTTTTGACGAAATTGAAAGCAAATTGAATGACTTGATCTCGGCATTCACTCGAATCGATTACAATAAGAAAAAATGCCATTTGAATTATTTAGGTAAGGTTTTTCGAGCGATTTTGAATGAAAACATAGTTTTCGATCGGACTCAAATAGATCAATAGCTATTTAATGCTGAGCAATGCTCTATCTTGAGCTTTGAATATAGAGCCAAACAATTCATTGGAGAAAAAGATGACAAGATTTTGAAAATTATACAAATTCGACTCTATTTCAGGACCAATTTTCAGCAATCTTTCGCAAGTAACAAAAGGACGGGAGTTCTTCTGTCAGGCAGATGCAGAAACATTGAGTCGTTTAATACCGTTTGTACAGTACGAAGAGAGTCTAGTGCGGAAAGGTGGCATTGTTGGGCTTCTAAAGAACATTTGCTTCGATTCGAGCCGCCATTTATTTTTGCTTGAAGAAATCAACATTCTGCCAATCGTTCTGTTATCTCTAGCCGGACCAGAGGAATACTCAGATGAAGAAAATGACAAATTCTCAATGGAACTGCAGGTAAGTCGTCAATCAGAACTTTTTTGTTGTTGTTTTTTTTTTTTTAAATGTTCGTTGTGATATTTCATTAAAGTGCTGCATTTACTTGTTGTGGTCACTGTATATAATACCCATTATTGCTCCCCATTTTTCGCAGTACCTCAGCCCCGATAAGCAGCGTGAAAATGACCCAGACATTCGGAAGATGTTGATCGATTCGCTGAATCAACTGTGTGCAACACGAAAGGCTCGTGAGTTTTTGCGCTCAAATGGAACGTACGAAATTCTACGTGAATTGCATAAATGGGAAAACACCGATGCGGGTGATAAATTGTGTTTGATTTCATGTGAGAATGTCGTTGACATCCTTATACGAACGGAAGACGAGATAGGCGAGGATAACTTAAAATCACTGGACGTTCCAAACGATTTGGTGGAGAAATTCGATAAAATGGGTTCCAATTTAGTCGAAGAATAAAATATTTTTCTATTAAGATTTTAAAATAAATGTAAAAAAAAATTTAAATAAACAAATAAAAAATGTTGTAAATAAAAACCATGCGTAGCTTGTTTGGAATGCGGCGCTGATGTTTGAAAGCCCGAAAATGTTGACATTTGATCGAATGACGTTTGTCTGCAGCTTGCGACAACAACATTTTTAAGCTCATTGCGGCTTTTCAACCAAACACACACACAAAATTGCTTGATGATTTTTTTTTCTGTTTGAAATTGGAAAGGGAATTGTAAAACTCATTGGAAAAATGTTTAGAAATAAGTTGATTGCATTGGAGCATCCATTCGCTGAAACAGCTGACAGTTCATTTAAAAGTAAGTTCACGCAATTCCAATAAATTCTGGGTGTTTATTAGTATTGATGTTGATTTTGGATTTGATTCGTAGACGATCAGGATTTCGCAAGTACAGTGTTGTGGTTGGAAGATCAAAAGATTCGTCATTATCGGATTGAGGATCGAGACGCGTTGCGCAACATCGACAATTATCCCGAATGGAATAAGGCATTTGAGAAGTATAAAAATGACATTGGTGTGCCAACGTTTGAGACCCGTATCGAAGATTTGGATTGGATTTTAAGCTATGCCGTTCGTTTGGAGTACATGGATCGAGCGGATGATTTCAAAGATATTACCGGTGCTCTTGTGACAGAGGCCAAAAAACCAGCCGATCCAATGGCCGTTTCGAAAAATCCCTTCGACTCAATGGACATGAACTGTGAAGACTTTGAGCAAGGCGTTCGCCGATTAGGACGAATGCTTAACATTGCACATCATCCAGATCATCTGAAGGTAAAGAATCTCAATTCAAATTTCTCGAGATCTTGTTTGGATATAAAGTGATTTAAAAATGTTAAAAACAAAAATCGATTTTTCTAGGTTTTAGAAGCCGCATCCCGCATAATCGAACGAAAACTTGGCAAATCCGCCGAACAAAATACAGGCGACAGCGATAAAAAGACTGTTGCTTATTCACTAAAAGACTCCGGTAAATTCATCTACAACGATACCGATTTAGATGAAGCCGCCAAAATATTACGCTTGCTGCAGGTGCACAGCACGCGAAACCTGCAAACTACCATCAATGAAACCATCGTCAATGTACAAGATCTAACAGCAAATCCAAAAACGGACACTAAACTAGGAAAAGTGGGATTCTAAAAGAAAAAAAAACGACAAATTTCGATTTTCGCTTAATTTGATCACATTTAATTGTCATATTGCTTCTTCTTTTCTTTCTATTTTTTATTTACATTAAAATTGAGTTTTTTTTTCTTCTCTCTTGGAAATTTACATTTTAAGAATTTTACTCGCTAGTCGTTCGCTGAAACGGTGGCAATGCAAATAGTCTTGCCGCACCAAGACCGAAAATTCCTAGAATAAAGGAAGAAAAAAACACAATTAGTATTTATAAAAAAAATATGTGGTTTTAATTCGTTAAATTACCCGACGACATGCAGTAGATGAAGTTCCGACTAAAAGTCGACTTTTGTTTTTTAGCCGCGGTTAGTACGTAAATGCCCATTCCGATGATGCCCACACCGCTGACTAGACGACAACTCGAACAATCCTCTCCGTAACTGTGCCGCTTGGCTACAAGGCTTCCACTAGCATCACCCATAGCTTCTTCTTTTTTTTTTTCTCAAAACACTCTCATCCAAGAAAAATCGGCTCTCTATTTAACATTCGGTTGTGAAATTCACTGCTAACTTTTGGTGTTGGGCTCATTCAATACGGTCAACACTAAAAGTCAGTGGATCGCATCGGGCACCACTCGCACATGTTTTTGAAGCGTCAAAACAAATTTCCAGCATAGTAAAAGTGTTTGCAATAGAAAAATTCAACGTTTTGATTTGAGAAACTTGGGATATTTCATTCATTAGATTTTAAATTTCTAAAAGATAAGACAACAAAATGACAGTACGAACGCCAGCGAAAGAAATTCGAGGTAAGAAAAGAGAATAAAGGAATGAATTTTTCAATTGAGTGTGATAAATGAACTGAGAAACACATTTTTATTTTATGCTATAGAATTGGAAGCTGACACAGAAGAATTGGAGCAGGAATCCGAAGCATCGGATGCCGAAGAGTCGGACAATGAGGAGGAAATGGCGAGCGACAATGAAAGTGATGAAGCCGACAATGAATTCGATGATAATGAGAGCGAGGGTGATGATGAAGCAGACAACGATGATGAAGGCAATGCCGGTTGGGCCGATGCATTTGCAAAAGTGTTGCAGCAAGAGAAACCGAAAAATAAGAAATATTTGGTATTGTCAAAGGCAACGAAATTAGCGGATAAAAAAGAGAAAGATGATGCTGATAAAAAAGTAACATTCGAAATAGATGGCAAAGGTGATGACGACGATGATGATGAAGATGTGAAACCAGAGTTAAATGAAGAAGACGCGAAACCCACGAGTAATGAATTGGAACTGGCATTGATTGCACGTAAAGAGCGAAGCAATAAGCTGTTACAATTGCGAGTTAAACCGAGTGCAATGGATCGAGAACGTGAACGAGCACTCAAGCGTATCTCGACCAAAGGTGTCGTCCAGCTATTTAACGCAGTGCGTTCACAACAACGCGATTTGGTGCATCGATTAGAAAAGGCCGGCCCACTCGATCACAGGCGCGACGAAGTGCTGAACAATGTTAACAAACGACAATTCTTGGACATGTTGATGGGTGGAAAGCGTGCCAAATCCGAGAATGTCGATAATCCAATCAAAGATGAAAAAGAAGATGGCTCAAAACCATCACAGTGGAGCGTGCTGCGAGATGATTTTATGACCAACAAAAAACTGAAGCACTGGGATGAAGATGAGGGTAGCGACAATCAAGCTGTTGATAATAACGATATGGATTCCGATTCTGATTGATTGATGAAAGAAATAAAGTTTTATTTTTACAATTTAGCAATCGATTGGTTTCATTTGAATTCATTTTTGGGTTGACTTTATCCCTTCCACCATTTCTATCCTTCCCAATGGATTAAAATAACTGAAGTGCCCCAAAACAAGAATAAACAAGATACACTTTTAACAAGAAATAAAACAATCGATAGCGTTGAATTCAAGCGATTTTCTTTTAATATAATATTTTTTTTTCAAGTTCAGTTCATTTGATAACTTAGAGTTGTCAAGGGAATACAGAAAATACGAAAAATAGCAAAAAATTGTTTTCTTTTTAAATGTATTTTTATATCAATGTATAACTTTATGTCAATATGCCTTAAATTGTCTCAATTGATTGGTTTTTGTTTTTAGCTTCGTTTTTTTTTTAAACATTTCGTTATCGAAAATTTAAAAAATTAAATGAACGAGTACTTCGGCCTCGATTCACAGTAAACTTTTCATTTAGTTTAAATTCTGATGCGTTATTTTATACTCTCTTCCGTTGATTGCATGAAATTACGATTTTTCACGCTTTTTAAGATTTCGCTTTGATGCACATCGATGAATAATATCCGATACATGACTTTTATGATCGAATACCTTGAGGATTTGCACACGAGCCTCGTTAATTGAATCGGATACAATTTTGCTGCGTTGCATATTACCCTGTTAAGAACATGAAAAAAAAAAGAAATTAGATTTTGTTTCATTCACTTTTCATATTGATGCGCTAATTTACCTTAATTAGTTCATTAACACGTTCTACATCTGTATTTTGTTCATGCGCTTCCATACACTGAAGCATTGACGATAGCTTATCATATACTTGTGACTCTAGTTCCGTCTATAAAGAAATAGCGAACATTATTCCAGATCAATTCGTATTAAATTTCCAACGTTTTTTTTCAGTTCAACTCACCAGGTCTTCCATTTGTGATGTCAAATGGTAGATTTTCCATCCATTCACTTTTTGCACCACGTGAGTCTGATTGGCCAAATCGACAACGGTCGGTTTTCGTTCTTCACGTGGCTTCACATCTGAGTATCGTTGGAAGTGATTATGCGTTGATTTCCATGAATGTTTATAGCTCTGTAATACGAAAATCAATAAGTCAATAAATTGTGTGGATAAAATGGGTTTTTGATGATTTTCAACATCTTGATTTAAATGTGAATCGTTTAAAAAAAATGGAATGCATTCGCTTACATCGAGTAAATTGCATGCTTTTGGCCGTTTAATATAGAAGTCTATGAATTTTGGTGGACTATTTTCATTATTGGTCTTCACAGCATTTCGATTCGTTAAATTAGTTGCCGCTGCTGCTGCTGCTGCTGTTGCTGCGCTTGTGTTCGCCTGTGATGGAGTAGCATTTTGAAAAGTTATGGTCACTCCTTGATCATTTAGCGAAGATCCAGTAGCGGTTTGTTGTTCCGATTGGATGTGTGTATCCAAATCGATTTGGAATTTTTTGCCTCCTTGTGGATATTCGTCGAATATCTGCTTTCGTGGACGTTTCCGTGGCGTCAAATCATCACTTCCATTCGACTGGACGGGTGATATGAATTAATCGATTATTGATGGATGGAAATTGATTTAAAAAAATTCTCACTCAATCAAGAGTTTAAGAATGACTTTAAGAAAATTTATTTAAACTCACCATATTTACGGAATGTACTGTCTGCGGTAAGGAGTGTTGTGATGCTTGTTGTTGATGTTGTTGTTGTTGCTGCTGCGGCAACGCTTGAGCAACATTGTGTTGCAATTGATTTTGATGATGCTGCAAGAAAGAGCGTTTCATTTTATATCTCATTTTTATTTCAATCGCTTTTTTTTGAATTCACCATTGAAATCAGCCATTCATTCTTTTGTTCTTTACTTACCTGATATAATGCATTCAATTCCTCTTGCTCTTGTTGATCAATGCCCGGACTCGACGTGGCGCTCACTGTTGTCGATCCATCAGATGAGCCGGGTCGTGAAATTGGCGATGGTATCCTCTGACTTGCCTGCAACTGTTGCACTATTTCGGCACGGAAATCAACTAAAATGATGAACCAATTCAATAATAGGCTTGTCTATATTCGAATGGAATTTTCGAAAGAAACAAAAAAAACGTGGGTCAAACTTACTATGTTCACGTTTTCGTGGTGTGGCAGAAACGATGGTCGTGGCTCGCGGTGAAGATGTAGCCGACACCACAACTGAACTCGGTTTGACCCCAGATACTGGGATTATGTGCGCGGTTTTTTGTTGATTTGTCAACGTTTGGTTTGTTGGCATTGAAATGTAGGATATCTGAAATACACAATGACTTCGTTAGGATATATTCTCTGATATATCTGATTTCATTAGAATTGAAATGGATTGCACATCCATTCCATGTGTAATGGATCAACATACTTGTTGATGGCCGCCAAGCTGCTTTTGTAATAGGCCATCGTATGAGGTGGATTCTTTATTGCCATCAACAATGAGCTGCGGATTGAATCGAACTGGCATCGGCTGAGATCCACTCTGCTGAACAACGGTCGACGTAACCAATCCACCTGTCGAACTGTTCACAACACTTCGATTGGATGATGGAACAACTGCAAATGAACCAGCTTGTGGTGCATATGATGCTGTTATGGCTGTATTACTTGATGACACATTTGTTGTTATCGACGGTGAATGCGTCGTTATGGATTGCAAAACAGCCGTTGAACTCACTGATATCGGACCGCCTGGTGTGACTGATGGCAAAGATATAAAATGTATTTGTTTAATTTAAAATCGAAACTCAAATCGATCGAATGCATTTTTCTTTTTACGAAAATTATTCAATGTTCTACTCACCTCGATTGCTACTCACGGCATTAACAACATTCACAACTGCCGAAAAAAAGAACCATAACATTATGATTAACGCTCAAGTGTTTTCCGTGAACATATTCTGAATAGTCGAAGCAAGTCGTTCTTACCATTTTGTGATGTTCCGACCGATACAATTGGCGGCGGATCGCTCGTAATGCTCTGTTGTTGTGGCAGTACTTTGGCAATTGGTAATACGGTGGTTGTATTGTTATTTGTATTGGCCGTTGTAACAATGTTCACGTTACCGCGTACAATTTGCGATAGATTTGTGGCAACTGATGCTGGTAATGTGGTCACCGAAGTGCCACTAAGCGATGTGTGCGTCGCACGGGAGGTTATAGTCAATGGCACAACCGTTGAAGTTTGTTGCGTTCCCTGAGATCCAATTATTTGCTATGAAATGAAAAACCAATCGAATCAAAAGTTAAAAGATGAAATAATCGAACGATGGAAAACGTGTTTGACGTACAATTTGATGGCCATGGCCGACATTAATTCCCGATTGATTTAAATTCACGATCTGGGCTATCTGTGATGCAGGCACCGATTGACTATTGTTCGATCCCATCACAATACCAATCGGAGCCGAGGAGTTGCCACCTGAATGCTGTGACGCTTGTGATTGATGTTGAACAACCGAAGTTGACGATGGAATTGAACCGGTGATTGTTGCTCCTTGCGGCAGACTTGCCGTCGCTAATTGAACGCTATTCTGAGGATTCTATCGAGAGAAAAAAAGGAACATCAATGAGATTCGATTCCAAGTTGCTGTTTTTAAATGGACATTACCTTCCCAACGTGAGTAATAGTTAACGAGGGCTTGGCCGTTGATGCACTCACACCACGCACCGTATTAGCTGTGGACACATTTGATGCATTCACAACGAGCGGATGCAATGTCATTGCAGTAATACGGCCGGTGCCCAGTACTTGGCCACTTGGATTCGGTTGTTGCACTTGAATGATACGAGCGGCTGGTAAATTAGCTACAGTTAAATTCGAACCGGACACAGTCGTATTTGTGCCGGATGGAAGAGTGGTTAATACACTAGATGGCGTTAACACTGGCCCACGGATGCTTATAGCTGTTTAAAGAGGAATAAATTTAAAGTTAATAATGAGTTCGCTTCACTTCTTTGTTTTAAGTTTTCACTTCATATTTCTGTGGCATTAATTCTTGGCCCGAGTTTTTGTGACGAAATTTAAACTGCAACTTACATCCGGTTGCGGTTGAGACGCGACTCAAACCGGCCGTTGGTAATCGTGCGCTGCTGATTTGGATTGGACGAACTTGTCGTTGCGTTGCGATCGGGCTGGCTACCGCCAAACGTGGTCCCGTTACATTGGTGCTCAATTGCTGTGGATTGCTATAGACGAGCGTTGCAGTCTGATGACGTGGTGGCAAAACTGTGGCAAGTGTAGCAACGAACGTTTGAGATTGACCTAAGTCATTTTAAAGTAATATTTGAATTGAAATTGAAATTATCGTTTCAGAGTGCGTAAAAACGAACAAAAAACAGCACAAAATACAACAGCAGCTCTGAAACTGAACAATTAGCCCACTTACCCGATCCCGTTGCACTGGAAACATTTTGATTTGATTGCTGTTGTGATACATTTTGAATGGTATTTGTGCCAGCGCCACTCTGTGATGACACAATATTTGCCGATATGGTTGTAATACCCGTATTCGCACTGGAAACAGCCGTAACTAAAATTGAACGAGAATTCGTTGAAAATTTATGTGATCGATAGGGAAGTAGTGTGTGTTTAGATAAAGAAAAAAAAATGTGAAAATTACATTTTGCGCCGCGAGGTGCTTGTCCGATATTGGCTCGGATCAGTTGAACGGGTTGGCTGCCGGTCATCCAGGTGGTTGCGGTCGGGATGACGGTGCCAGCCGGTGATGGTGTGCGTGGTGGAATTGCACCGCGAACAAAGCTTGTCGATATATTGGCCACCGATGGTGGTGTTTGAGCTCGGATCGTTCCACGTGAACCTGCAATATTTGATGTGACGCCTGCAAACAGAAATCATGAAATGACATTTCAATAAAATTTCTGTATCTATCTCCCTCTCACTGAGTGTCTCTCTATCTATCTATCTATATCTCTCTCTTTTTCATCGTATGTCCACTGCTTGGTTATTTACTATGAATGGGACAATCATTCCGGCCAAAAATAGCACATACATATTTTCATTTGGCCAGAGAGTTTGAAACCAATTGGATAAAAAAGAAAATCTGGTTGTTGTTTTTGTAGTAAATTACTATTCTTTGTTCGAATTGAAAACAAGCATCGCTCAATGAATAATACATTTTTAATGAGCTCGATACAATTTTTGTTTCGTTTTTTGTTTTTGTTTTTCAATTGAAAATATTGTTCATCGAATTGAATATTTACAACAAAAAAAATAAAATTAAAGAAGAAATAATCGAAATTCTGCATAATCGTTCAAATTGTTTACTAAAGAATTTGATTTTCGACTCATTTTGAATACGCATTTCGTATTCATATGCAAATTTCAAAATCTATTTACAAAAATTATTTCAATATGCAGCATTTAGAAATACTACAAACTACAGAAATATTTTTTTATTTTTTTTTCAAATTTTGTTGTTGATAAAAAATTTGTTTTTTTTCTGTACAACAACACAAAAAAAATATGATTTAAAAAAAAAAGAAAAATAAATGGATAAAAACAATGATCTTGCCTCTTGGCATAAATGTATTTGGTGTTAACGGTCTTGTTACAGTAATTGATGTTTGTGCCATGGTTCTTGATGGCAATGCCGTTATTTGTGTTCTGCCTAAAGCATCAACTAAATTGACAAGAGAAAAGAAACAAGAAGAGAAAAAACACATCTCAAAACTTGCGCTTCCCTGTTTTTCGATCTAATTTGTTTGTAATTTAATCCGGGGTGGGTGGGTGTAGGTAAAGAATTTAAATTGTTATTTGGTGCATGTATGTGATTGAATTGTTTTATTGATTCTTAATAAAACAATTGTTTGTAATTTTTTGTTCCAAATTCTCATTGAGTTGATTGATGGTCGGTTGTTTTGATTTTCGTTGTTAAATTTTTGTTTTAAATTCGTTTTGTTTAGTTTATATTTTGTTTTGTTTTTCGGACACTGATTCTTCTGCTTTTTTGACATTGTTTTCATTTTCGAAGGTCGTGTTTTTTTCATTGGTTCAGTTCAGGTTCGAAAACAAAAACAATGCATGTGCATTGGAATCAATCGTATCGAAGTGTTCGGTTGGTAAGTGATTGAAATGTGAAAATGGCATGGCCAAATGTTGTGCAAATTGGAATACTGTACCTTGTTTGAGCATTGCTTGTGGCATTATTTGTGTTTGAATAATTTGGGCACTTGCTGTTCCCGTTGACACAACAACGCGCATTGGTTGCGGCGTTAGCGTTCTGTTCCGTATTGAGATAGAGAAAGAAAAGACGAGAAAAAAAAAGTAAGACACAAACACATAGTATACACAATTAACGATGAAACTGATCTCACACGCGAATCGAGAGCGAAAAGCGAACAAGAAATTGAATGAAAGAAAAAAGAAATGTGTGTTGTCGGGCCGGATGGATTATTCAATGTTGGTTTGTATGCGCTTACCGAAACTGCGTTTGAACGGTGGCACCTTTGCCGTCTGTGGGCTTGACTAGTGCAATTTTCGGTGCTAAATCCATTGGAAATGCGTTTTGTTTAATAATCGGATTGGGTTTTTCACCACTTGTACTGCCTATAGCAGCAGACGTGTTATTTACTCCTCCGCCAGCGTCTGGCGAGTTCATTTTTTGTCATAAATTCCGAACACCAACCGGGTGATTTGATGTTGATGTTGCATAAAAGATTCGATTATTTTCTTGTTATTTTATTTCAGTGTTTTTTTTTTATTATTTATCAATTTAGGCCCAGCCAAGTCTCGCACTCTTCCTCACACTACTCTTTACACGATGTGCACGATACAGTGCGCTCTCTATCTCTCACTCTCACTCACTCTCAATACCGTTCACGTATTGTTCTCCCACAAAACACTGAATTTCACATTGATAAACATTTAAATGGTGGTTTGGTAGCGATCGTAGCAGGAGAGAAAAAAAAGCGGCAATCACACGGCCAAAAGAAATTGGCGTAACAATCGATTTGATTACAATTAAATGCAAAATGGTGGTGAGATTTCGTTTTTCAAAAATTTCAATAAAAAATTTCGAAGGAATTGTCAAATCGCACGCAAAAAAAGGAGCCAAAAAACACACAAAGAAATCGATTTACGTTTCATTTACTGTGTCTACACACTACACTATCGTCAAAATTGACGAAGAAGGAAAAAATTGTTGCTCAAATTTCGGTCACAACTATTGCGTTCGTTTTTCCACACTTTTGGCAAATTGCAAACAATATTTCGATTTTTTAATCACTTTTTTTTTATCTTGATTGAGCGGGGACCTTTAGGCAATTTTCGGTCGTCTATTCCGTTTTCACTTGTGTGATGACGCTGAGCTAATTTTAAAAAGTGTTTTATGCGAAAGCCATCTATACTTCTGGTTGTTGGTTGAGTTTTTTTTGTATGTGTGTGCATGTGTGATTGTGTATGTGTGCGTGTATGTGGGAATGTGTGCAAAGCCGTCTGCATATAAATGTGTGTACACATTAAATTACCTTACTTCAATGCACCAATACACAGGCACAAGAGGCAAAAGAGTAAATTTTACGCAATAACATGTTTAACATACAGTTGTCATCGCATTCAGTCGTTCGTACGTTCATTCGGTTCGCGTACACGCTGGCAACACTGCTACTTATTTGCTGGTGTATGTCGTTGTATACACCGCAACCGAGTAAGTGTCATCTGATTTCGAGAAAGACTAAAACACATAGCGGAGGGAAAAGAAGAAACATACAAAAAAAAAAATTCCAAATATGAGGTGCGCGTGTGTGAGTGTGTCTGTGTCTATGTATGATGAAACGGAGCGAAAACAACAAAACAAAATTCGAATGTATGCAATGTTGATGCCCATGTATTGAACCACATAACGGCGGCAACCAAGAGAATTGTTTTCCAATGAATGTGTGACTTTTGTTGTTGTTGTTGTTGCTGCTGCTGGTCTTCTTGTTATTATTATTGTTGTTGCATTTAGCCTGTTCGATTTTGTGCACACTTTATTCTCGGCAATGTTATCAATTCAATCGAAGGGATCAATAAATGTGGCGTTCGACCAATTACATCTGCAGCAATTTTGTGCTGAACTCAACAAAAAAAAAACAAAGCGCTAAAGTAGAAAAAGACATAAAAAAAACATGTGTAGTGCTGTTGAAGTGTACACAATACCAAGGTTCTTCAAATTATGTAAACCAATGCGATAGCCTGGTTATTTTTTTATTCTTCTTTTTTTCTGCTACTCTTTTCACTCGTTTGGTCGCGGGTTTTGAATTTCAATAGAGCGATAGGGAGATAAAAATCAAACAAACACATTGTAATCTCTACTATTTATTCATCCAATTTAAACATATCTACAGCAAAAAACAAAACAAATGACAGAACATTACTGTAATAGAGAAGAACAAGAACAAAAACGGATTTTATATATTATCAATTTACAATTTTCACAATCAACGAACCTGAATGTTTTAACTGAGATATAGAAGTTTTTACAAGGTGTTCAATACTTTTTTTGTTTTGTTATTTTGTCTATTGACTTATTTTTTGGTTGGTTGCAAACCTCATTTTCTTCTTCTTCTTTTTATTTTAAATGCAGATATTATTAGATACAGAGAATTATTATTATTATTGCTATAATGCCGGTGTTGCTGATAATAATGATTGGCACGAGTTTGTTTGGTTTTTTTTCCCTTCGTTATCAATAAGTTGGTAAAATTGTGGGTTTGTGTGGAATAAGTTCTGGAAATATTGCTAATTTGTTTTTTTTTTTCTTTTTTAGTTTGGTTTCATTTCAAATGAAATTTTCTTTATTTAAAACCATTTGGATTGTTGTGTTGCCAACGCCATGAGTCGGTGCACATTTCGTCGAGTCCACGTTTGGCCGTCCAGCCCAATTCGTCTTTGGCCAATGATGCGTCGGCAAATGATGTGGCAATGTCACCTGGTCGTCGTTCAACCAAATTATATGCAATTTCACGTCCTGATGCCTTTTCAAATGCTTTGACCATGTCCAATACCGAGTATCCCACTCCAGTGCCCAAATTGTACGTAACAAAGCCTTTAATTTGCTTTTTGGCAATTTTATTGATGGCATACAAATGACCTTCGGCCAAATCAACGATATGAATATAATCCCGAACACCCGTACCATCGGGCGTATCATAATCACTGCCGAACACTTTTAATTTGGGTCGTTTGCCAACGGCCACTTGAGCAATGTATGGCATCAAATTGTTTGGTTCACCATTTGGATCTTCACCAATTCGCCCCGATGGATGAGCACCCACCGGATTAAAGTAACGCAATGAAATCACATTCCAACGCTTATCCGATGCACTTAAATCCTTTAGAATTTCTTCCGTAAAATATTTACTTTTGCCGTATGGGTTGGTGCAATTGCCCGTTGGATGCGACTCTTTGATTGGCAATGAAATCGGATCACCGTACACCGTTGCACTCGAACTGTACAGAAAATTGAAAACATTGGCAGCGGCCATTGTTTCCAGCAAAATGCTCGTACCACTCACATTATTTTGATAGTATTTCAATGGCAAACGGCATGATTCGCCAACTGCTTTTAATGCTGCAAAATGGGCAACCACATCGATTTTATGGCGTTTGAATAGATCCGTCAATGCGGCCTGATCACATATATTCATTTCATAGAACACAATCGTTTTGCCCGTCAGCGCTTGAACACGGCGCAACGATTCGGGCAATGTTTTTGTCGATTCTTTGTATGCATTATGCAAATTATCAATAGAAATCACATTGTGGCCGGCGTTCAGCAATTCAAGCACAGTATGTGATCCCACGTAGCCAGCTCCACCAGTCACTAAAATTGTCAATGACATTATTTTCAATTTGGAAACGCAAACAAATTCGTTGTTATGTCTTCACTCAATTTTCAACCCGCACGATTTCAGCGGACACTACAACGGAAACAGTTATTTAATGACGTTGACGCAGAATTGTGTACTGTAAATTTAGTCGATTAAATAATTTTGTTTTTCAAAAACGTGATGGTTGCGTTATTTTTTTTTCTCTTTTTCCTTTCAAAACGAAAACGCCTAACTCGATTGCTTGCATTTACTGAAATGATGTACTCGATGCAAATGATCACCACTCTATAGTCACTTCGATTCAATGGTGCTGTTTTTGTATGTTTCCAGGAAGCGCTCGCTACTCTACTCAGTTCGTTTAGCTTCGTTTAACTGACCGTGGCTTATCAGTTTCGTTTTTAAAATCCAGCCACAAGTTCATATGACACGCTGCATATATCTATACGTATCTTGAAAATGTGTTTGTTATCAAAATTGTTCATTACGTGTTGTATTTGCTTGCTTTTCTTTTATTTTATTGCCTTGTGTTCTGGTAATGTGTACGCTTTTTTTTACGAAAAGAAAAAAAAAACTGACGACACAAATATTGCTGTTATCATCAATAGAAAGCCGAATTCAGTGTGAAGTCTACGTGTTTATTCTTTTTCTCTGTTTCACTCGCTCGCTCTGTTCTCACATCGAATACAATCGATGTGTGTACTTTGACTGGGTTCTGTTTATCTAGAACAACATACAACGTGTATCGTATTGCCTTCTGGACTCAGAATGAAATTGGAATTTCTCACAACAGATAGATTCGTGCAAATTTATTCTCAAACTTATTCGGTAACGCGTTTAGTTCTGTTTTTTTTTATCTTTTCTTTTTCGAAATTTTCTTCTCTTTGCCTCAGTTTAATTGCGATGATGTCAAACTATTGATTGTTGAATAATTCCGTTGAACATCCGTCTCACAGTCTCTGTGTTGAACGGAATGTCGTGTACTTTGAAGCGAATACTAAATAAGTTAAACACAATGCCATGTGCTTACGTCGAAAAAACGGATAAAATTCCAAAATAAATTCTATTTTTTTCTTTCTTCTTCTATCGTTTGGATACGAAAAACCACTAACGAGCTTCCATTGCAACGAGACTCCTCCGAGAGAAAAAAAACAAACACAGTCAACAAAAATTCGTTGCACTTGTTTTCGATGCAGTTTCGTGTGTTGTTCCCTGTTTTTTTTTTCTGTGTGACCCAAAAATTTCGATTGTTGTCTATATGCTTGCCTCACCAGTGAGTGACGTTTTCATTTAACGCGTACATCATCAATTTTTCGGAAGCGCATGCGCCTTGCCGTTGCTCTTGTGAAATTCAATCATCTAACGCATCCTGAAAACGATTTGTTTACAAAATATTCATGGCCGTTACAAAATGGTGCTACGGTTCAAGTAGCAGCATCAGCGGCAGCAGTAACAATGCGCAAAGATAGAGAGATAGAATAATTGGTTAAGAGCTATGTGGAAATAAAACTGCGATCAATTTCTTTTTTGATATTCTGTGTTAATGGTCATAAATATTCCATTCAATTTATTTGCTACATCTCTTGATAATTGATTGGTTGCGGGGGAAAGGAGGAGAAGGGGATAATTAAACATACAATTTTCTAAAATAAAATCTCTTCTTTTTTTCATAATTCAATTTTAAATAAATAGAATGGCAGTATGTGCCGTGGAATGTGTTTTTTCTCAGCTTGCATCGATTCTTCATAACGAGGGAAAAGATGGTGTGTTGAGGAGGAAAAAACTAAAATAAATCTTAGCTAATCGATTTTTTTTGGGCTCAGTACAAATCGCCGAACAAATGATAAAATTTTGAATAATTTCACAATTGGAAATAATTTAAAAAAAAATTTAAAAACGCTATTTTTCAACATAAAAATGTCGAAATAATTCTTAAATAAAACTAATATGGCCAAATGACTATTTTAAAAGCCTTGACTTTTTTATTTGCTATGGGAAATTCGGATGAAGCGAATCGCATATGAATTATGAAACAGTCATTGTAAATCTACCATTTCATTAGCTGCAATTAATTGGTTCGGATTGAATTGTACGCATTACCATACAACAATTTTCGGAAAATAATAGATCAATTTCGGTACTGGATACAAATGATAATTTTTATCATTATGATCATATCCCCAACCGCATTTTCCTACAATGTTGTTTCACATTTAAAACAAATCCAGAAAAAAAAAGAATTGTCACTATTGACGTGCAAATGTTTGTGTGTATGTGTTGCTGTTGCTGTTCGAGTCAAACAGTTGATTATATATAATTTACAAATAGGTTTTTTTTTGTGGTTGTAGTAGTAGTTTAAATCTTGAACTTTGTGTGTTTTACAAACGATTACAAATGTTTTTTTTTTCATTAATTTCTTCTGCTCTAGAAACTGTGCAAAACTAATTTCATTATTATTGAATTTTTTTTTCGTCATTAATTTTCATTTAATAAAAATTAAATTCATTTACTATATTCTGAGTTGGTGTGATAAGTACAGAAAATATATGTATATATAATATCATTTTCATTTTCATACGTATATAAAATCATTGTAAAAATTATCGTTTATCGTTGCTAATTTGTGATTAGTGAATATAGAGAATTTATGTGTATGGCGAATCGTGTTTTCAATGGTGCAATTTTCATCAAATATGTTTATTAATTTACTAATTTTTTATTCTCAAAGTATTTTGACTTGTTTTATATGAACTGTTAGCTTGGTGCATAGCCCATTTGAATGTCACATCACAAACACGGGCTGGAACAAAATAAATGAGAAAAACAAAAGAAAACGAAAGAAAACGAAAAAAAAGTAACATACACACATATCTCTTGACGCATTTGATGCCACAAGAGAATATCAATAATCACAAATCAATTAATCAAATGTCATGCATCTCTTCCCTATATATTCTCTTACATGAAATAACTAGTGTTTATTTGTGTTCTCTTTTTGTTTTGTTTTGTACAAACGTGAAGCGAATACAATGAATAAACAATATATATATTGACAGTTTTTATTTCAGTTCTGAACTAACCAATTTGCAGAGCTAAAAGTCATTTCATCAACATTTATGCTCTATTAACAGTCCATAACGAGTTTGTTTGTTTTACTTGGTCATTGTCTCTCTATGTCAACTGCGACCAAACTCAATTTAATTTCAACTAAACCACTTTCACCTAATTAGAATGAACCGAACGAAAAATGGCTGATGAACGGCTTATAAAATGGTATTTGCCCGGCCGCAAAATTTGATACTGCTTTCTTCGGATTTGTGACCAGTTTGAATCCCACAAATTTATTCACATCTTGAACTGTATCAGCTCAACCAAGGCTTTTTTTTACACCTATTTACATTTGCTCGCTTCTTTTCTATACAAAATCTAGTTACAATATTTACAAGATATAGGTTTTTTTGTTTACTTCGTTCGAATGTGTTGCACAACGGTTTGCGAATGATGTCGCACTGAATTATATAGTATAAAAGAAAGCTCGTGTGACGATTCACTAAATAATATCGCATAAGTTTAAATTAAATCGCAAAACAAACGATTACAACTAAAACGAATAACATTGCTCAACGGATGGGTCAAACAAAATAGAGAATTTCATTCAAATGGCAAGGTTAATTAAAAAAAAAAAATCCGTCACTTCAAGCTTCTTGTTCGTTAGTCTAACCTTTATAGTTTTAATTATGCGGTGCTCTTTTGCCCAGCATGTATCGCCTCCAGCGATCGGCCGTGCGAGCAATCAACGGATCTCGATCGATTGTAGCCAACAGAAGCAGCTGATTTACGTGCGTTGCATGATAGTCCCATCGGGCGATATTCGGTTCGATGCCTGCAATTTCAATGATTCAAACTTATTAATAAAGCCATTTGGTCATTGAATTTTCAATGTTTCATTTTGTTTCTGCTTCTTAGTTTTCCAGATTTTAAATTAAAATTTAATTTTCAGATTTAAAAAAAAGTCGCCAAAAAACCGTCTTACCCAATGTGATATGCCTTAAATCATAAATGCTGCCCGATCCGGTGTCGTACATCAGAAGCATTTTCTTCAATGAGATCATTCCTTGGTCAAACAGAAGTCCGGCTTCACGTGATAAATTGCGCGGTGCGGTTGCATTCAGATCATACAGCCCGAGTAATGAATAAATAAATCCGTTCAATACAAATGAAGCGGGTGTGGTCGGATATTCTTCGTACCATTCGTATTTGCCCATGAATTTGGCCAAAACACCGCCCTGTCGCGATGGAACTCGAAATGGTTTTAGGCCATTAATCGCAGCCCTCAGATATTTTGCATCGCCATTTGAATGATAATAAGCTCGTGCAAGCAACGATATCGCATGACCTTGTCCCATTGCTGAATACCAACCCTGTTTCAATTCGGCAAATTCGGATAATTTCCGTTTAACTGGATTTGCCCAGCCGCCAGTTTTTGTATTTTGATTTCGTACAAACCATTCGGCTGCATCATAAAATTGTGTGATGTGTTCGGTCGTTGAAAAGGTTAAATTATCGAATTTACCAGCACCAAATAATGAAATGGCCGTCACTTTAATATCACTGCGTCGCAGTTTCTTCTTCATTTTATCCATACTATTGGTGTTGCTAGCGAATGCAGCACCGCCGGCAAAACTATTGCTTACACTTGTGATTGGAATTTGTTGAATGCCTTTTTGTAAATCGACGACCAGATCACGGGTCAAATGCTTCCACGTGCCCGCATTCATCGTACCGATGCCATAATAAAAATTACTTTCATCGGCAATGGTTAACAATGCATCGCTCACCACATAATGTACATTGTACAATTGTTTCGTTTCACGATTTTGTACAGTCACCGTAAAGCTACTGTTCGATTGTAATTCAATGTCGATGCTCAGCACCAAATCGAGCACATGATCCAAGTGCATTTCAATTGAACTGTCGTAATGGTTCTGTGTGGCAAATGAAATGATATGATTTTTTGCCTTTGATTTTGTGTGATGAACACGTGAAAAATTACTGCCTTTTGGCACAATCCAAGTTGCCTGATTCTCATCACCGTCTTCGATGATTTTACGCCTTGGCTCGGGATCGGTTAAATTTTTACTGTAATGCGATAGGCCGAATTGTGCGATTTGCGTTGGATAATAGTAACCAAGTGCCTCCCATTGCGTTGACACGGGAACACCGTCCGATGCTGATATGCATTTCACACGATCTCGCACCTAAAATGGAACAACGAAAATTTGCATTTCGAATCGAATCAATAGAAGAAGAATAAGAAGATACAAGGGCCACATACCTCAACATTATAATTTTCAAAATACATAAAAATCCCCTTTGGATCATAAGTGCCTTTGGGATAGTTGATTTTCGCATTGCTGTGATTCCATTCAAATTTCGGCGGTCCCTTTCCCACTGTACTCAATGAGCCGTACACTTCGAAATAATCGCGAATAAATGTAAACGGCACATACACTTCATCACCGTCTTGAATACAAGACACACTATACTCCTGATTTATAATGCAATCCACACCGACAACTGCATCCTGATTGTCATCTGTCAAACGAAAATTAAAAACGCGTTCGCAAGAACCAGAGTAGAATTTTGTTCAAAAAATAAAATTAAATATCACAACTGAACATTACCATTAAATCGACGATCCCATTTTGGTAGGAAGCCTCTGGCCAACGTCAAATCGCCACAATGCGTCCAAATGGATAATGTAAATAAAAACACAGCCAAACAAAGCAAAACTAGTACCACTTTCAAATTTAATCGCATTATTATGAAATACAATGGTGTATGCTGCAAGATAGGGAAATAATTTTGGTTGGTTTCAATCACAATTCCTAGAGGATTTTATTGGCTACCTTCGTTGGCCACTTACCTTTTGATGGTGATAGTGATGATATTGATATGGTTGGCTATTTGGAATGTCAGTCAATCTGGACGATGATGATGTTGTTCCACTCGATTTGATTGTGGCGGTTGAGCCAACAATTGAGCTCAAAATTCGCTTTAAGCTATGCATTTGATAATCGCTCACATGGATTTTGGTTTTCGTAAAATTGTTGGGTTTGCGCTTAAATTTGCTTTTCAGTGTAATTCACTATCTCTCTCTCTCTCTCTCTCTTGTTATCTCCCTAATACGATGCGCTTATTATTGTTAAACAGTCGTTCCTATTAATTTTGTACATTGTGCCGATTCGACTCCTTCCTTCGGCACTTGTCAGTATGTGATTAAGTACATTTGCCGATATGCGTTCGAATTAAAAATGTTTCACTGCAAAATTTGATTATTCAAATCGGACGCGCGATAAATTTTAAAAGAAAAAAAAATCGAACTTTTTTTCTTTTCTTTTTCACAGTGATAAATACAAAATCATTTGCTCATTTTTTTACTGCTGCTACTGTTGATCGATGCGCGCGTGCAGAAAATCAACTTTAATTCAATTGGTTTTTTTGCTTTATTCTCTTTTTATACTTTGTTTCAATTAAAAAGGGACCCTCGTTATTCGTTTGATCGACTTGTTTTATTTATTTATAATTATTTTTGTTCTGTTCTGCCGTAATCTCACTGAACACTCATGTTGTGTGTACTCTGTACAGCCAATGTGAACGCACATATGTGCCAAGAATTCGATTTTATTTCATGTTCAACACAACAATCCACCAATTTAGCATGACCAAATGATTTTTGGTGCAAAAAATAAATCACTTGCATTGATTTCGATGAAATCATGCTAAAATAACAATCGAAAAAAAGAACTAGCAATTTCTTTGCACCGATAATAGATTCATGGTTTTTCGGGTTTTGGTATGTTTGTGCTCCATTATTGAACTGTTCTAATCGTCCAAATGATTATATATGCCTAAAAGATGTGTGTATATATTTGTTATTTTTTTCTCTCTTCTCTTTGCTTGTTTTTCTCTTTTCTCCTCTCTTCGTTCAATCGGTTATCGTCGTTTGCTCATTCATTCGCTCTTGTGTGCTCGATGTTGTTCTGCCATCTCTGTCTGTCAAACACACACTGACAATCATGACAATAGTCAAATGTTTTGACGTTTCGCCTGTACACAGCATTCGGTTCGACAATGGCTGCACCACACTCACCAACTGATTACCGATTATTTTCGTTGTTCGTTATTTTTCGTTCCTGTCTTCTTTTTTTTCGAATGTGGCAATACCTTTGGCTCATTGACACATTCGTATGTAAGATTCGTTGCATTGGAATTGGAATTTGCTTTCGTTAGAATTGAATTTTTGTTAATTTTTTTGAATTCCCTCGATTTTTTTGAATTCTGAATTTGGAATTTTATTTTATGATAGGAAAGAAAATAATTTTTCGTTTTATAGGAAATCGTTTGGAGGCTTTGGCATCGGAATTTCGAATCGGGAACAAGGATCAGGCGCAATGTGTATTAAAACTCCCTGAAAATAGAAGCTTATTAGATATGACAGCGTCCTGCGATTGTATGCGTACTCGCGCGTGTGTGTGGTTTGTCGTATAGACATCTTTCCCTGTCTTCATCGATCATATATTGGTGTGTAGCACATGCAGTGTTGCGAGTATTCGTGCCCCAGTATAGTATATTCAATGCTGTTCGCACGCTTCATTGATATCTTCTATTCGGTCCATATGTGCAGAAAGAAACGGGACACGACGGTCGCATGCGAGCAGCCCTTCACAAGCTCATACAAGAAAAGTCATGTGTATACAAAATGTGCTCGGTAGCGCCGTCGAGTAAGTAGTACATACTACCGAGAGAAGAGAAAGCGAAGCGAAAAAAAAATATCTGCCAATTCCCGAATTTCCATTACAATGCCCACAGAGAGAGATAACGGAATGCGCCGAATCAATCGGTGGTGCGCGCACACATGTTCACAGCGTAGAAATGCACATGGAATATGGATTTGATTGTCGCCTTGCGTACGACACAACCGAATACATTTTTCGTTGTCGTCTTCTTCGTCTGTTATTTTTTTCTTGCTCTCTGAAGAAATGACACCGTTCTTTCTCGATGGTTTCGGAGGGCTGTTTTGTGTGAGTGTGTGCAAATGAAAAGTCGCACACAACCCCAATACTACCACCAACGACGTCAACGACGATGATGATGATGATGTTGTCGTCGTCTGTAAACCACTAACACACAACATTTCCAAAGCACATGCATATGACAGGAAAATTTGGCATCGCATATCAACCCACTGAAATCTAGAGCATTTTGGGCCGTTTTGTTTGCGCGATTCACATCATATCTCGTGCTCTAACTCTGCCACACACATTCTCACACACAAATACACAGCCGCAGCAGCAGCATCATCATCATCATCAGTAGCAGTAGCAAAAGTTCCATTTTTCCTCATCTTGTTGGCTATCTTTGTCACACTCTTTCATCCCATAAATGTCTCTGTCCCACTTTCTCTCTCTCTCTCTCTTTCTCTCTCTCTTTTTTCTCTCTCTTTCTCTCTCTCTCTCTCTCTCTCTCTCTCTCTCTCTCTCTCTCTCTCTCTCTCTCTCTCTCTCTCTCTCTCTCTCTCACTCACTTACTCCAGCTCCATCCGTTTTTTAGATGCCTGAATGTGTCTCTCTCAAAAATACACAGAACACTCTGTGCACACACGACACGAAAAACGAAAATCATCGATCGGGTGTTGTCCTCGTGGATTTAAGTCAGATGGCAGTAAAATCGGCTGCCAAAACCGAGAAAGGAATATAAAAAAAGCAGCACACGAAGCGAGAAGAGAATGTTACAATTTTAAGAGTTTCATTTGATATGGAAGTGCACATGAGCATTTTAAAGCAATGTAGGGGTGAGAATTTTTCCGTTTATGTTTAATACATTTAGCCAGTCGCTCGTTCGTTCGTTTGTTTGCTCGCTCACACGCTCGCTCTGCTACTTTACTTTTTACCCAACTACGGGCAAAAATATTTTTCGTCTCTCCCGCACCATTATCATCATTACAGTGCCAGCGCTGTTATTTATTTTTATTCTCTCCACACACTGCTACTGATGCTTGCTCATGTTGGTTCTGTGTGGTGTAGTGACCGATTTTTGAGTGTGATGGAATTTCGTGTACGAGATTCGTTTTGAGTGAAAAGAACTTGGGCCTGAGAGAGAGTGAGAGAGTGCGTAAGGGACGAGAAGAAAGAAAAAAAAAGTGTAACGACAGAAGGAAAATTTCCGAAAAAAAAAAATTGCGAAATGAAAACCCAACGGGAAAAAACGAATTCAAAGAGGAAATTTCAGTAGAGAAAAATCAGAAAGGAAAACGAACGGGAATTTTCAGCCAAATGGATTTTGATTTGTGTGAACAACTATGTGAACATTGTTTGATGGAACTTGGTGTTTGAACGAAACGAAGTGAAAAAGCGCATTGCGAAAATAAGAAAACGAAAAGATACACTGTTTGTGCGATAGAGCAAAGGCACGACAGGCGTTTAAGTTACAAAGTTGGAATAGTGAACGACAGAACATCTATACCTATATATATGCAATCGGAGAGAGAGAGAGAGAGAGAGAGAGAGAAAAGTAAAAAAAAGTGAAAGCAGCATCAATCAAGACCATCTCGAATTCATTTCTATTATTGAAAAGCGTTAGTTATTTTCGTTTTACCCCAAAAACACCCTTGCTCTGTGCAATTTTCACAAGAAAATTTGGACGCAAAACTTTTGCCATTCCGAGATTTGATGAAAAAGCACATTGAAGGTTTATGCAGAAAAGAGGGAAAAAAACACACACACATAATTCGCAAGCATAACTCAAGAGGGGTGGTTCATCCAAAAGCAAAGGCATTACGATTTACTATTTTATTTTTTGCTGACCGAAAATTGCCAGTGAGAGAAAAAAGAAACAAAAAATTAACCAAAAACATCAAGATAACAAACTTTTTCGGTTTGCAGTGTGTAATTTGGTGCAAAATTTATATCCATTCGTTGCATTTTCATTTGTTTTTGCCTAAATAGTTATTTTTTTTCCTTTTTGAATTGGTTGTCGTTTCGTTGGAAACAGATTCGATTGTTTATACGAAGAAAATTAAATTTAGACTCGCCAAGCAGAGACGAACAGAGAAAAAAGAAAGCAAGCTAAAGGAAAAGTGGAAAGAGAGCGGAATTAAAAACGAATGAAACCAATGACAAGCGAACAACAAGAGCCACAAGACAAGCATGAAATGTGAATTAGTTGTGAATTGGCTGGCATAGAAGATTGCTGAATAAAGATTTGCAAATCGAAAAGAAAAGAAAGAAAAAGAGATTAATTTGTTGCGGTGAAAACGAAGGAAACGAATCTCTCAATTGACGAGAAGTGTGTGTGTGTGTGTGTTGAAAGTGTTCGTGTTTCTCTGAATATATCGGTGCGTATGGTGGTGCTGGCTCCAGTGAGCGCAAGAGAGCACATTTGTAACATCGCATTTTGGTGTGGTGTGTGCTAGTGTTGGGCCAAACATACAGTAAATAATAAACGAGCCATCGTATCGCGCGCGCGGCCAAATCGACGATCGCCAGTGAAGAAAAAAAAATAGAAACAATTTTGGGTTTTCCGAAGAAGAAAAAAACAACAACACACATACAATAGAAAACTAAATTCGGTCTTGGCCGTCGTTGTCGTTGTCGTCGTCGTTGTCATCGAACGGCCGCCGTCGTCACATCGTGCACTCTCTTTTTTATTTGTATATTGGTGGAGGTTTACATTTTAAGTGTTTGTATGTCGTCGTCATCGGTATCGCCGTATTTAGATATTGTTGTTAATGCAGTCACGAAGCATAAAAAAGTTGCCCCGAAGTGGTACTGTTGAGACATGCCGTAATGGCAAGAGAGGTAAGATTAGTTTCGCTTCTTCATTCTTTGATTTCTCAATTCTTCTCTGCTATTTCTTTCGTTTCTACCTTTCTCACTTTTAGTTTGTCTGATTGCGTGATTCGATTTCATTCCTATTTGATTCGTTTTTTTTTTTCATGGTAGTACAATGCGTCTAATGAGAGCGATTTATTCATGCATTTTTTTTTATCCTGGTTATTGTTTTTTATTTTTTTGTTTAACGACTCCTTTTTTTTTGAATGTGACAGGTAATCGGCTGAACATAAACAAAATTCATTGATTCATGTGCAATATGCGACAAATTCCGAGAAGAAAAAATTACCATTTTAACCAATTTCGCTAAAGAAATTGCGGAGTTTAGTGTTCATTCGTTACTGAGTAATGCCGTTTGATGGGAAGAAATTCATGAGCTCAAGAAGAAGAAGAAGAAGAAGAAGAAGAAGAAGAAGAAGAAGCATCAGAAAAAAAGTGTGAAGCACATCTACATTTTCGATGCTTTCGCCATGCGTTTATGTAATAAGCAGTTACACTTAACAATTCTTCTTCGTCTCATATTGTTCATGCTTTGACAATCTCTCTTTCTTCGTTCTTCTCTCGTTTTCGCTCTATGGCACTCTTTTTCCCACATTTGGGATGAACCGTGCTACTGCTGCTGCGGCTGCTGTGCTGTGCTGTGCTCGTTCGAAGCAAAGCAACGGCACAGCGAAAGCTTTTTCCGCGCTGTTTTCCTTTTCGCTGCTCTGCTTTTTTGCTCTGTGCTCACTCTCCCCGCATCATACACACACCACACACATCAATCCAATACGCTTTGCTATTTGCTTTCGCAGTCGCGAGAGAATTTTCGGCGTGTAGTATACTCCCTTCGCACATACAACAACAACAACGGCTAGCATAGAAACACACGTACGTATATATATATATTGAGCGGTTTCAGCTACTATTCCAATGTGGAAATTCCGATTTTGTAATAGATTGCGTTGGAGTTTGTGGATGTGTTGTGAGCGATGCGAAAACGACAAAGTGCCTACAATAATATATACACACATATATATAAGGCAAATCAAAATGAAAAAAATCGAGCACAGCCTCGGAGAAAATTTTACAATCCAAAGAAAAGAATAGAAAAGCAAAAAAAATGTTGTAGATGAAGTTTTGCAAGAAACGAAAAAAAACAACGTGAAGCAACCAAGAGAGGAAGAGAGAGGGAGAGAGAGAGAGAGAGAGAGAGAGAGAGAGAGAGAGAGAGAGAGAGGCAAAAAAGAAGTAGAGAGAGGCAGAACGATAATAAACAACTTACGAAAGCCCAATAAACCGGATTCAATAGGTTGTTTTTTTCCTTGTCTCAGTTGAAAATAGTGGAAAGAAAGGAAGAAATTCACAGAATAGAAATGAGAAAGGAAGATGGAGAGAGAAACCATGAGAGCATTTTGTCTTCATTGTCGTGTTGCTGTTGCATTAAATCCAATGGTACTTCGATTTTTATGGGTTCATTTCATATCAACGGGGGCAGCAATTTGCGGTTTGAAAACTAAATAACATTAACTTAAACAGTGTTATTTCTGTTCGATTTTGTTTTGTTTTTTTTTTTCTTTTGTGGCTCTCTTCTTCTCAGAACATCAAACAAACTTTGACCGAAACCTGCTTTGCATATCGTTTGCAGTTCGGCAATGCAGCGCAGCGAACATTTTAAATTTCGCTCCGAATATTCATATATTATAATTGAACGAAAACAAATAAACAGTCAAGACACACATTGCCTTAAAATCACAATTGTTATTCGAAATGTATTGAATTGGAGCTCAAGTGAAACGGTGGTGGTTGTTGTTGTTGTTGTTCAAGCAGCAACAAAATCTGACTTTGCACAAAATCAATCCAACTGCACCTGTCCTGCTGGAATGCAATTCTTATCGCTTAAAATGGAGGCGAAAAAAAACCCTTATTATATTCGAATATTTTCACATTGAAAATTATTTACGATTGAAGTAAGTTGATTGCATTTTGCAATTGATTGGATTTCGGTTGTCGGCCTAACAGCGACAAAAGCGTCGCTTGCAAACAAACAGATTTGATGAATAGGTAAAATGAAAACTAACACAATAGTAAGAACTATGTATTTACGCCCGAGAAAAGCAACACATAAAGCCACACACACACACACACAGCGATTGGCACACATAGCATCGATTTCGCTTCTCTCGTAATGCAATTCACAATTTATGATGACAATTGGATGTGAAAATTTCAAACTGCAACCGTCATTGCAGCCGATACAAAGCATCAACAGCATTTTCTCTATATCATCGAATCGGTGCTGCAATTTTTGAACAAAGCTTGAAATTTTTTTCCCTTTTTTCTATCGCTTCTTCTTTTTTACTATCCCATATCGGTTTTGTCCACTTATCAAATGAATTGGTAACGATAACACAATAAGGTGAATGGTTTGCAGGGCAAATAGCAAACGACCGACAATTTTCTGCCTCAATCTCTCTCTCCCTCTCTCTCTCTCTCTCTCTCTCTCTCGCTCGCTCGAATGGAGCTACAACCAGCTACGAGAACAATAACAGCAGCACCAGCAGCAGCAGCAGCAACGGAAATATTAGAGCAGTTGCATAAAAGCACTTATCTTCGTTAAATTAACCAAAATTCGAATTAAGATGAAAAAATATATTCAAAACTACGTTTCAACTGCTAGTGCGAAATAGTAGAGCTTTTGTGATTGAAATGATTGTTGTGTCTGTATGTATGTATGAGAGAGAAAGAGAGAGAGATTGGGTACGCGATAATATGAAGAAGATGCAGATGGACATGAAAAAAATGTTCTGAATTGAGCACACGATAATTGGAATGAAGTTTAAGATGACGATGGGAGCATGAAACATCATAAATCAAATTAATGTTGAAGTATCCATCAATCCAAGCGTATATTTTTGCACGGTTAGAGCATATGAAAAACTCGAATCGCCACCGTTGCCACCATCGTCGATTCCGCTTGCATAGTAAAAATCTCGGCCAGAGAAAGAGAGCACGCATACACATAGTATGAAAATTATTATAGATTTTGAAGCGGTTTGTCTAAGTAGAAGCGAATGCCTTTTATTCGCACACGAGATCAATCGAGGTTGTCGCTTCAGAAAATTTAGATACAAAGGCGATTGCATAAAAGACTGAACTGCGTCTGAACATCGAAAACACACACACACACACAAGACGCTTAGCATGACGAAGCCACACATCTATAGTACTGATACGCTCGCTTCATAGAAGAAGCAGAAAAAAACGCATACTTTTCGTTGAGGAACGAACAATTTCCAACTTTATATTTGCTTCATCATCATTCTGCTCGTTATGAAACAATGAACAAGTATTTTCTTCCTTTTCTATCATTATTATTTTCAAGCCTTGACTTGAATATTCGGTGTATGTGTGTGTGTGTGTGTGTCGAAATTATGTGGAATTTTGATAATTCAAGAGATGTAAAATATTACATTCATGAAGTGTTTCAAAGCTGAATTTGTTCGGGCTCAATCTCATTCTCCATCTTTTCTCTCAATCCCTCGCACTTATGCATTCTCGTTTTTGTAAGAGGATCCATGTGTACGAAAGAGATGAAAAGATTCTGAATTATCAATTGACGACCAAATTTATGAGCTTTTGATCTCTTCGCTTATTCGCTTTATACTTTTTGGCTGCGCTCTAGTCCAATGCTTCACACTAAATTCCAATGTAAATGTTACGAAGCTGATGACAAAAAAACGAAATTAATTAATGAATAAATCGAGTCAAGCTAAACTTTTAATTGTGCATACGTTTCACTTCTAGATGCGCTTGTCGTGCGAACGAGTGAAAAATCCGGTTTTACGAGAATTCTTACCACCGGATACAATCCATCCGTCCGTTCGTTCGATATAGTGATGCACTAAACGTATTTCTGGGAAGGCAGCTGCATTTGCATGCTGCTGCTACTACTACTACTACTACTACTAGTACTGATGCAATGTGCATGTAGCAACAATTGGGTGTTTCACACGAATTCATCACAATCTGCGTTGAATATGAACTAATTATGAATGAATACAAGGGCGAAAGTTCATAGGGTTCTCTCTCTCTCACTCACACTCATTCTCCTTCTCTCTCTCTCTCTCTCTCTCTCTCTCTCTCTCTATCTCTCTGTATGTGTCTGTCATTTTCGGTCAACACAATTGATCTTAGTATATTCCAGTGTATGTCTATGGGAGCCCACTTATCAAAAACCACAAATTAAAGAGCGTAGCCACCTAAAGATTTTTATGTGCGATATACATATATCTACTCGACATCAACACAATTACTTGATCCTTTTCACACATATTCCAAAATGTGTACGCTATTACATGCATTTCCTTTTCAATTTTCACAGAATATTTGAATATAAATTGCTTGTGGCAAATCGGCTTTTGTCCATTTACGTTTATTGACACTCTGTGGCTTAACTGTATGCAACTGAACGTTTTCATCGTTCAATGTGTCTCTGAATGCATCAGTCATAGGCGATATGAATGCATCAAAAGATCGGCTAAGAAAAAAGCTAAAGCTATTCTATCAAAGCGTTTGCTAGTGACACCCATTCGGCTGTCTAAGCACACCATTGAATATGCAGTATTTGTATAGATTCGATAATAATCATTCGTCTTACGACATAAGTGACACACAAATACTGGTTACATTCAAGATGAAGCTAGCATCAAACATCGAGTGCAGTATTTCTTAAGCGGTTTTGTTACGGCAAAGTAAGTGTAAACGCAAATCAACAGCAATCGACACCAAAATGAACACATCGTTGGCGTGTCGCGTGCATTTCATCCATCAAAGTTACTATGCCGTTTGCAAATCAAGAGGTTAAAGAAAAATTTACGTTTTTACAACAAAGAGCTGTAAACAGTTTGGGATCGGTGTGTTATAAGGCAGTGCACACATGTCACCCGTGTGCTGATCGAAAATCCAAAAGTGGTGTGCTTCAGCGC